GTGCTGACGCACAAATAGATTTAGGTTATGGTGACATTTTAAGCCAGTTTGTAGTATCCCGTGACTTATTCACGATATTGCTAATTAATGCACGTTCCTTAATCAATAAGATATCTGAACTAAGGACATTATTATTAGTCGCCAAGCCTACTGTAGCTCTGATTACTGAGTCATGGTGCTCATCCTCTGTACTTGATGTGCATATAGGTATCGATGATTACACTGTACACCGTGCAAACAGAGATTGCAAGCGTGGTGGAGGATGTCTCATATATATACATAGCTCATTTGTAGTCAGTAAGGTGGAAGATGAAACAATGAATAATGTACCTGACTCACTCTGGGTTGTCTTACATGGAGATAAGTACAAACTTCTCATAGGCTGTGTTTATCGAGCACCAAGCTCAACAAAAGAAACTGATGCGTTATTAGCTAAATCGTTTGCACATGCATCCTCGTTTAGTGCTAATTACAAAATAATTGCAGGGGACTTCAATCTTCCAGAAGTCAATTGGCTAACTAGTTCCGGCCCCCAACGCTTCGACGAATTACTTGCCACTATAGACTGTTATGGATGGCAACAACACGTCCAGACACCTACTCGTGGGGACAACATGTTGGACCTTGTTTTTTGTCATGACACAATCCCAGTATCCACTTATGTTGGTAATAGATTTTCCAGTAGTGACCATAGAATGGTACTCTGCTCTCTGCCTTTCTCACCACTAAATACAGGAAACAAACAAGACTCAGGAAGCACAATATGTCGTAGTTACAAATATACAGACTGGGGATTAGTCCAAGAACTTATTCGACTCTGTCAATGGGATGACTATTTTACCACTGACTCCCTGGAGGCCTTAGTAACCCTGTTTTACAGGAATGTTACCCTTTGTCTAGATACAGTTGCCCCAAAGAAAATAGTGAAATTAAGTAGACACCGAACTGAATATATTCCAAGGGCACACCGTAATAAGTTAAGGAAACTGAAGAAACAGTACTATTCCACTAAGGACATATCACTATTGCTCTCAATCCACGAGTCTCTTGAATCTATCAAGCGCCTACGCTCTCAAAAGGACCTCGACGAAGAGTTAACGGCACTTGAAAGTACCTCCAAAGTTTATAACTTAACGGCACTTCTTAAAAAACGAATGCAGTCGGCGAGGGAAATCCCATACTTACTTCACGACAAAGTAATCTACAATGAACCTGCCACTATCTGTGAACTCTTCAGTGATTGGTTTGCAAACTTTAGTTTAGAAACACATATGCCTGGTGAAACCGCTCCCCTTACTATCTCTTCCCTTGAAAGCATTGTGTTCACTAATCAGTTAATAGTACAAGCAATTAAAAGCCTTAAACCTTCCACTAGTACGGGACCGGATGGCCTCGCTTCGATAATTTTCAAAAACAGTGGGTGTGATATACCCTGTTACTTCTTAAATTCTTCTCAATATCTATGGACACTGGCACTTACCCTAGTGAGTGGAAAACTAGCTTCATAATTCCACATTACAAATCTGGTGATAGGGCAAACGTCCGCAATTACAGACCCATAAATATAACCCCAGTTATCTCACGAATCATGGAGAAAGTTGTAAAGGATCAATTGTCAGACTACCTAATTAGGGAAGATCTTGTTACAAGGTCTCAACACGGATTTCTCAAAAATAGATCCTGCGTTACTTGCCACTTCGACTTTTTCAACTGCATCACTAGTAGTCGCGAAGCACGTAAGCTAGTCGTTGTTCTCTACTTCGATATATCTAGGGCATTTGACATGGTATCTCACAGTATTCTCTTTGAGAAGCTGTACTCTTGTGGAATTCGCAACCCATTACTGAACTGGTTAAAATCATTTCTAAGCAACAGGGTACAAATAACCAAAGTTGGATCTGTATTGTCTCATCCTAGGCAGATCTCAAGTGGGGTCGTGCAAGGTAGTGTCCTAGGTCCACTTTTATTCACAGTTTACATTAACAGCATTTGCAAGTGCTTCACCTCAGGTAAACCATTCCTATATGCTGACGACCTCAAAGTCGTCTACTCCTGCTACACTCATGAATTAAGCGATATGGTTACTAAAATACATCTTGAACTAAGTAGCCTTGCAACGTGGTGTGCTGAATCCTGTCTAAATTTTAACATTGACAAATGCGGCTGGATTTGTATCGGCAACAGTAAGCTTGATCTAACTCTTGAAATAAATGGGCGAAAACTAGCTAAGCTCAATTCAGTCGTAGATCTCGGTATTAGATACTCTAGTAACCTAACGTTCGCTGAACAGACTGATTATGCCAGACGTAAAACGCGAAGGCTGATAGGATGCATAACACGCAATTTCTTTTGTTGTGAAACTAGGGTTTTATTATACAAAGTATGTGTCCGACCTATCTTAGAATACTGCCCGTTTATTCTTAGCGGACTAAGACAAAATGACAAGCTTAAATTAGAGGGAGTGCAACGGCAGTTTACCTCAAGAACTCTTGGTTTAGAAAGTGGTCTGGAATACCATGAGCGATGCGTAAGACTAAGATTAGAACCCCTCTGGAAAAGACGCCTTAAGCTAAACCTTATCTTTTACTATAAGCTAACTAATCTTCTCTTGCATTCCTCCGAGCCAATAACTAAACCTACCGCTGTCATCAGTTACAATCTTAGAAATCATCACAACCTAGCTGCTATGGAGCACTGTCAGACTTACGTGCGGTACAACTTCTTCTTAAATAAGTTTTCAGTCATTTGGAATAGACTACCAGCTAATGTGCGCGATGCAAACACACTTCCAGTGTTCATCTCCTCAGTCACCAGACTGCTCAAAGATGACAATGCACTTTTGCGCCTGACTCTTACACCTTCTTTTTCACCCTACATAGATATTTTAAGTTCTTTAAACGTGTAGTTACAACAAACTACAATTATAAATTTTAATATTATTGGAACTAGATGATTAACATTTCTACACAGGACAGTAATATTAGTTTACACATAATATAAAAGTTAGCATAACGGGACTAGTTAGTTTGTGTACCAAAATAACCACAGTTACTAAACAGAATATATATGTATATATTTATTAATCACTCCTTAAGGACTCCCGTTGCTTTCTTTTGCGTTGCTGTTGTTTGTCTTCTTTTTTCTCTCACCATTTCAGCTTCCATTTGACTTTTTGAATGAGAATGAATAATGTGGATATTTGACCATTTACAATGACAAATGATCTGCAAACATTATTGGTCCCGTATCTTTCAGTTGCCTGGTTAATAACGAATTAACTTTCTCCACGACGCAACCTGGATTACATTTGTGGAATATACTCTTATACCAATGGAAAAGTATCAATTTGTAATACAACGTCACGATTGTAGCTTATAACATAACTGATCGTATCTGTAAAAATAGCTTCCTTATTACCCAATTTGGATATAAATCAAATCAAAAATAAGATTCGGATTTGTACACACCCAAGTTATATTGAGGAATTACTTCAAGCTTTATTTTTTCCCAAGTATTTTTAATCCATCCAAAACTTACTTGGGTTTTTTTGTTAATGCGAAGTTAATATTCCTATATTTCATGATGTGCTCCATTGAATGACTGGTTATCATATTGTTCCCACAGACCTAAAAAAATGGCATGCATTTTCATGTAAATTTATATGTTTATATAGAATATACATTATATATTATTAAAACAAAAACGCCAGCAACCATGTAACTTAACCATAAACCTTATGAAATTTAATTAATGCTTATCCATGCCTGTATATTTGGTGTGTCCTACACAAGTAGGAAAAAATGTGTACTTTATTAAAACATTATTATTAATTATGATTGCTAATCGTATATGTAATTTATCTTATTGATGATGCCTGTAAACTGGCGTCTCTCATGTACAAAATGAGGATATACTATTATTATTATTTAATAAGAATACCTTGATTTCTATGAATTGCATGAGTGACCTCAACTCGAGTTTTATACTAGAAGTAATGGCAAGACGCCTACCTACTCGACTGCAAAGGAAGTGGGTGAAGATAAGCTCCCGTATGGAGGATGAGGGTGTCGAGCCAAAATTTGATGATATCCTGAAACTAGTAAGAGATAGTGTCAATCAATCGATGAGCAAGTTTTCCAGTCTATTGAATCTCACCCCTAGAATAGAGCAGTCTGAGGGTAAAACGCACTCATTGATGACGAATAAGCCTCAGAGAGGTGGATATCGAGAAGACTCTATGATGTATAGTAATGCATATAGATCTAGTGAGTGTAACAGGTTTCGTAGTACATCCTCAACAGATAAGTTACAAGATGCAAGACAAACACGGTTTTGTTTTACACGTTTGCAAGAGGTGCATACAGAAGTGAACTGTGAACCAGTGAGCAAGTTCAGTGATAAGCTAAATGTAAACTCCAGGCCTGACTCCAAATTGTGTGACGATAACGATGCGGTCAAGAAGTCTGTAGTTGCAACTGGTAAGCCATTGTTGAATAGAGTGTCACAGAATAGAGTTACTGCTTCAGAGTGGAGTTCTGACTCCATAAGTTTACAAAGTATAACTAGTCAGAGTGAAGATATAAAACCTTTAATGATTTGTGAGGAGGAACCAAAATTGTCCACTTCTGTTATTAAAGAGTTTGAAAATGATGAACTTGACGGTAAAGTGAATATTCGTGATAATGATCATGATACTTCACAGTTGTCTTTGGTTGATCATGATGAGATGAGGGATATGCCCACTACTGCTAAGTTGAACAAGGGTTCTGTACAACTACAACGTGAAGTAGAAATAAATGCAGGTGCAGTTGCAGAAGGCATGCGTACTTGTGAGACCGTCAGTGTGATTGATCAGCATGTAGCCCACCTATCATCGGATGCTAGTGGTAAACCTGAGCTGATAGTAAAAGACAGCAGTGGTGGTGGTCTTGCATGTAGACAAATTTCTGAAAGTCGAGCAACAACAGCTTTTGATCCACCGCTAACTTCATCAACTGATATCAATCAGTCGTCGTTGGTGCTGTCATCCACAATGAAAAAGACGCCCATCAACTCCAGTATCTTGTTCAATGACTATGCTAGTATCAGTTCGCTTGAAAGGACGAATATCAATGGTCAGTTAAGTGAGGATAAGCCAAGTGTAAACGAGAGAGTAATTGTTAAATTGACTTGCATGAATAAAGGCATTTCTAGTTTCAAGTTACTATTTGAATGTTATTATCTTTGGTGTAAATTACTCTGTTTCTACACTTGGTTGACCAGATACGTCGTGTGTTTGTTAGTCATCTTTATTCTACGATACAATGACATGAGCGTGTTACCGTTCAGACTTGATGATATGGCTGATAGAAGGAAGTTAGCAAATGAACTCTGCAACGATTTTCCAATCTAGAGCGTCAACCTGAGTAGGGTTGTAGGCGTACTGCTGTAAGTCCTACAATTCTTCAAAGGGTAGCGCATCAATGAGCAGTCCAATGTGCTTGGTGTGTGATTTTGTACATATGTTCATATTGTATATACTGAATTGATATCATCTGTCATCTAGCTGTTGGTAATTCTGTTTGAGTCCGGACGACTTCCACTTGGATCATCAACCTGAGAAGCAATGTAGGCATACTGCTGTAAGTCCTACAGTTCTTCATGGGTAGTTTGTCGTGCCAGAATCCACAACACCTGATGTGTTCGTTGTACTTATGTTTGTGTTAAATAATTGTGTGAGTTCCAGTTATTGTAATTGTTGGTTAATCTTGTTTGTGTCCGGACATTCCACAACTTACAATCGTCAACCTGTGAAGGGTTGTAGGCGTACTGGTGTAAGTCCTGCGATTCTCCAAAGGAATTCCATCAAGATGTGATCCGCGAGTTTTTGTGTACAGTTTGTATATATGTGTGATGTGTCCTATCAATTGGTGTATTTTGGATTCATCGTGTTTACTTGTTGTTTTCGTACCTTGTTGTCATTGCATTATTTTGTTAAAATTTTTGTCGTGATTACTTCTGAAGTTGTTTCGATTCTTCTACATCCGTGAATGAATTGATTGATGTTAAGGACAGCAGATGGGTCGTATACGCCGGGGAGGCTATTGCTGAGAATGAAATGCACACGGAGATAATTGTTAGCTGCAGTCCGACACGCCGGGGAGAAAGAGTGTAAACGACTGAGGCTCGCATGCGTCACCGCTATTAGAACTGAGGCAGAATGAGTGACCAGCGATTTCAGTGGTAATTGGTAGTGAGTAGATACGAGGATGTGCGTAGAGTATCGTGAGGTTGTGCTATGGTCACATTGCATTCTGCAAGAGTCATTCTAGCAAGCGGCGATTGTGTTGCAAGATGTCAAGATGAGGTCTCTGTCTGGACTCGCAGGTTGTCATTGATGTGTGAGATTGTGCTGTGGGTATGCTTGTGGTGTGTTGTCTTTTCTGTTTGTTTTCCATTTCAGCTCTGTCCGTGTGACCCAGGTTCTCGCAATGGCATCCAATTCGACGTGCATTGGTCGTGATGGAAAAAAGGGTTGGATGCATTTTTTGCCGGGGAGTGTCAATGTAGTTGAAGATTGAACGATCAATTCTTGGTTGTTTGCTTAAAACCAACTTCCCCAATTTTCGCGGAGGCATCAATACGACAGTCATCGTCTCATCGGTCGCTGTTCAGAAAGAAGTCAGCAATAAACCATCAGAAGTAATATTGTGATTTATTATTGTAATATTTGTTCACAGACCTTAGAGGAATTATTTTTTATTATATGTTGGTGTTACAATAAAGAATTCTCGAGCGGCCAATCGGTGTTTTGGTTTTTGCGTCCGTTATTACTAAGCGTTTCTGAGAAACTTCAAGCGACAGCGTGAGCCCGAGAGTAGCAAGAGCTGGGCATTAATGGCTTACGAGACGTGACTGACACCATTATTCGAGTGGAACCCGAAAGGGAAGCAGCAATCTGGTAGTCAGTGTGAGGGTGGCTTGGAGGAGGTCATGTGAAGAGAAGATGAAAGCGTATGGGCAGACTCGGAGTGGTTTGAAAAATTTGCAGAAATCCAAGTGCAACGGAGACGCGCGGCTGAAGCCCTTTGTTCCTCTAGGAACTAAAGGATATGGTGATAATAATGCATAACGGGGCTGTAAGAGTTTACGTACCGCGTCGCAACGCACGAAACTTGAGTGTGGTCCTCAAGTATGGGGCCTACTTGAACTTTCTTGTACTGAGTGATGTGAGATTTGACTGTGTAATGCTTTTTAAGGGGTGGGCATTACAGTGAATATCGGCAACACGTGACTCAGCAATATATATCGAAATAGTCTCACCAGACAAACGGAGTGTGGTTTCAAGTGCCAACTCTGCAGTGGTACACTGAAAATCAACTTTTTGAGGGTTGAACGGATGCTAATAGGGACCAGGGGAAGGAACTCTGTCCACTCGGTGTTGTCGACGGCCACTAACGCGGCCTCCAGCTGGAGGTGAAAGCGCTCTGATAGACCATTTCCATATACGTGATATGCTGTTATTCTGATGCTTTGCATCCCAATAGCTCTTACATCCCCTTAAAAGTTGTTGACTTGAATTGCTGCCCACGGTCAGTGACCACCGCAGCCGAGCACTCAAGCTGTGCGACCCATCTTTCCATGAACACTGCAGATAGTCTCAGACGTCACGTCTGCTATGCAAACAGCTGGTTGACAACGAGTAAAACGATCAACGCAGGTGAGCGAGTACGTGTGGCCATCATAAGGAGGTAGTGGACTCACGGTATTCAGATGGACATGTCTAAAACAGGCACTAGGTGTGAACTTTAGCGCGTCGGCAACTCACACAAGCACACGTCCAATTGCACACATCACGATTTTTACCAGGCCACACAAATCTAGCCCATATCAACTTGTCTGTTGCTCGTATTCATGGTTGCGAAAGGTTGTGGTCAAATACACTGTGGCGTGAGAACAGGGGAGCAGTAGGTGGAGGACATATCGTGCAGTTTAGTTGCTTCACTATACACAAGGGGGAGGTTTCTATTGACAGCTTTCCTAAGTCTTAACCCGTGAGCTGACGTTCAGCCATTTTGTTAAGGTCAGCGGTTGGTAACAGTAACATGATGCACATCGAAGACAAAGCGTATGCCTCAGTGTTGTCAGCCCCAGAAACGAGTTGAGTGTCAGACATGAACTGCGAAATACGGTCTAAGTAGAGCAATCCACATGGAGAGTTCTGATCTGTAGTGGTATGAAGAGCATATATTAAAGGTTTGTGAACAGCAAATCACCAACCTTCTATGAAGTTTCGAGAATGTTTGACAACATAAATGGTAAGTTCTCCACCAAAAGTGACGCAAACACATTCCCTTACATTTATTGTGACGACCACTAAGTGGAACGATCAAAAGTTCAACGGAGTTCAGAGGTATCTTTGTGAACCTGGAAAAAGAGTTTCGTTATCTCAGCGTGAAACAGTATAATACTGTTTATTAAAAAGTTTCTGTCGCATCAGTTCACAGCTAAAGCTCAACACAAGAACACTTTTATGACTATCGAAATATGTGCCTAGGACTCAAAATTCGAAGATGCTGATTTAAAGTATTGAACGCTTTCTGAGTTGGAGATATTTATTATAGTCTTTGATCAGCTGTGGCGGGTTTTCTTTGGAGCGTTTTTGAGTTTGTAAGTTGTCGTTCTCGTCGTTGAACGTACTTCATTCAGCTTTGTTGTGAAATTTTCCTATATATCGCCATTGTTTATTTTTTTAATCTGCACCTTCAATGATTATTTTTAAGCTAGTGAGGTGACACTATAGAACTACTCAAATAAATTTGAAAAAACCTGAATCCTGCTGCAATCATGATCTCATGCAGTTGAATAGTTTATTAGGATATTGGATGTCATTAGTCGCATTTGTTTTCCTAATTTTTCTGCATTTAGCTTGGTTTGAAGAAGTGTACGAAGTCTCCAAACGTCACTGCTGTACAAGAAGGTTGTCTCGCGTAAGTGCTCTTGTCAAAGTTTAACTTTAAGCACCAGTAAGTGTCGACGAACAAAGGACCCTGAAAGCACCAACCACATGACAAACACTATTTTTGCTCGAAAAATACATACGTTCGTGGGAATAATGGATTAAACGCATGAAACTTACAGGATACTCTTTTTTGACGCGCGACAAAAATACCTGTAAATTTTAGATTGGAGTATTAACAATAGTTTTAATACATTCTTTGCGCATAATCATCTATTTGCTCTAACCGTAGCAATAACCGTAATCTTTCCTTAGCGAAACCCTAAGGTGAAAAGACCCCTAAACTGGCACTTATCTGACATGAACCCTAACGCGTTCGTAGTCTATACCTTAACGTAGTCTTTTCCAAACCTGACTTAAAACTTGACAGATATCGCACTTAATAACCCAACACTCCATGAAGTATATTTTATTCATCATTACGGTATTATTCACCAAGTTTCACTAACTTGCTCACTGAGCGTTCCAGGGTCAATGGTGCTGTACCACTTCACTTGGCTGTATTTTGAAATGCAGTATTTTCCATGGTGTCTACACACGAATACCTGCTTTTTACTGGTTGACAGACTTTTGAGATATAATGTGATATATAGTTTAACTACCTTATTAAAATGCTTTACAGCAAATGCAGAATGCCTTCACTGCGTAAATCTCAGATATGAATGTGGAGATGCATTAACACTAATCAGGTTTGAGTGCGTGCAGAAGGAAATCAAACGTTTTTATTAGAAGTTCAGACTTTGTTGACTGTCTGACTGGTTTCAACATAGAACTTTGCACAGATGTGCAGCAGTTGAAGCTGCCACATTCCATGTAGCACACAGCAAGATTAGGGAGTAAAACGAGGTTCAAAAGACAATAAACAGAAGTATGAGAAAAATAATGCTAATATGGAAGACGGTAGAGTTTTAATGGGTATGACAAGTCACAAAGGGTGAATGCATCTACGCCAATGAGGACGATTTCGGGACATATCACCAATTATTTCCAGCCATTGGCTTTTACCACCTCAAGGACCTCTACGTGACTCGCTTGAATTAACTTGTGGATTTTATTGACTGATGTTATGTTTTGTTTTGACAACCTCTAGCTCTTTTCCAACCCGATCCTATGTCAGCTAACATTACCCGTTGAGGAAGGCGATGCCTAGGCATACGTAACATGTCCTAGCCATCTCATCCTAGCGCATGCCTAACCATCGCCTCCCCCGACGGGCATTACTAGCTGATATAGGTGCAGGCTGGAAAAGAGTAAGTGGTGGCCAAACAAAAACATGGCCTCATCAATCCATGAAATCCTTAACAGTTAAACTGAGTCAGGTAGGGAGATGCAGACTCCCGGGTTGGGGCCCTCGGGACTCTAGGAATCAGTGGCTGGAGGCAATAGGTGATATGGCTCAAAATCGTTGTCAATGGCTCAGATGTATTCAGTCTCTGTAATCTTTCATATTTCTTTCTACTATTACCCATTCTGTTTCGCTCTTATACTTGTCAAACTCTATTGATTCTCTTCACTCATCTTCTTGTCTACCTTTTGTGTGTGCTATTTGGAACGTGGCAACTCGAACTGGCGCAGTTCGGTGCCAAGTTTTATGTTGAATCCAGACAGACAGACGGAATTCCTGTAGCTGCATTTAATTTAAAGAATTCGGTCTGTGCTTATTTTGTGATGAAATTAAACAGAAATAGGGACGTTAGTAAGCACGTCTGAGGGAAACCACTGGTTGTCACCACCTCAGAAGACAACTCTATGTAGGCTGTCTCCTAGCTGACTGTAGGAGTTCGGGTAGAATGCTTTGACCACAATGATATGTTTTCTCGGCATTCCCTTCACATCCAGTCATCACCATAGTGCCTCGTTCGACAGAATCGAGTGTCTGTTCCAGTTTAAGAAATATAGCAAGTATGCTTATTTTCTAGAACCTGTTGAAGGGCGAAGATACGAACAATACTCGGTCTCCTTGGTGTAAAACCTGCCTGATTTCTTCGTGTTTGTTTCTCCCGAGCACCACTTAATATACGCATGATTATTGAGCGTAGAACTGTAGGCTTTGATCAAGCTAGTCCCCATGTGATTATCACAGGAAAACTTGTCTCCCTTGTATACTGAGATAATCAGTGACTTACACCAACCCAACGGGATTATCTCTGGTTACCAGACGTTGCCCAATACCTTAGTTAACTCAGATAGCAAATTGGCTCTACCGTCCCTAAACGCCTCTGGAGTCATTCGACCAGGTTCCGCTGTTTTGCCTCGTTTCAGACCAGAAACAGCTTTTGTAATCCCAGTTAGGGATGGGGGGCCGGCTTTTATATCCCATTCAGGGAGGTGTTGGATGTTCGGTAAGTTGGGCATAGCTGTAGGTCAGTTAAATTGCTCTTCAAAATGTTCCTCCCAAAGTTCCAGTCGTCTATCCTGAGAGCTAATTAGGTCGCAGTTTTTTCTCGGAAGTTGTCTGACTTATTACTTGCCTTTTGCCACCTGTTTCCCTGATGAACCTAAACAGTTGTCTGATGTTACCTATCTCTGATTCTTTTTCCATCTATTTCTCTTTTGTTGGCCACCACTGTTCACTGTCATTGCGAAGACTTGTGGTCAGTTTGCGTCGGACATCGTAAGGCTTGCTGAAAGTAAAACCTGATAACCAGTTATACAAAATCGACTGTCTAGATTGTAAAAGTGCTCATTATTCTTGCTTTGTGTCTCCAATTGTTTTATCTTACCACTACCACAGCTTATTGTCTTGTTACAGTTTGTAAACTACTGTTTGCATGCTTCTCTACTCTATCTTATAACACAATCATTTAAAATAATTGTTTCTTAGATACATTAGTAATTTATATTTTTCTACTGATAATCACATTGTTAAGCTCCAGACACTTAAGACAGACTTGTGTTTATAATTAGAGTTTCATGCGTTGCTACAATCATATTTATTTGGAAATACTTAGTAATTGAAAATGATATTTTGACTTACAATTATGCACATAAGTGCGACTGTAACACATTTGATAAGAACACAAGAGTATATAAAATACAAAGAAGCTGTAAAAAACAGAGAAGTGTAGGAAAGAGAATAATCATATGGAGAATAATGGGGGTTTTTGAGACATGCATATGGTTATATACGTTTGGTATCAGTTCTGGATTTCATATTTGTGACAAAAATACAAATTCAGAAACAGTAAAACGTAAGTTTCATTTAAGAAAGTAAGAATTTTCAAAAGAATGGTAACTGCACAAAGAATACTCATTTTGCGATAACTTCATCACCAGGCTCTACAGTTATATATACATTATAGTGAATGAATGAATTAGTGTTATGAATGACATTAATGTTTAAATAACATCAAATCAATATTATTGATTTTAAGTTATTTAAACAGCATTAATGTTGTTCATAACACTAATTCATTCATTCACTATAATGTATGTATAAATGTAGAGCCTGATGATGAATTTATCGAAAAGGGTACTCTTTGTTCAGTATCCATTCTTTTGAAAGTAAGAATTGGTGAATAATTTTGATGTGCTTCGTCTTAAATTATCACGACATGGACGTGTTCGAAAATATGTTGTTTGATTATTTTTATTTATATCAAAACAGGTAGCGAGTATTTAGTATGGCAGCAGAAGATGACTGGTCGAAGCTACCTACTTTGGCTAAGGTGCAGCATAAGGTAAAAATGTAATGATTAAATCATGGTCTTAGCTTTGGAATGCTCGGGTGGCGGGATATGAAGAAGCTTTAAAAATATTCTCTACAGAGACAAGTGAAAAAAGTCCTATTTTCAATGAGTATATTGGATTAATGAAAAAAATTGTAACCGATCCCCATGCTGTGGCTCAGGAAAAAGCTCTGGAAGTCGTTTTAACGTATATCGAAGTTGCTGCAGTGGCTACAAAGTAAGTTTTAATTTTCTTATTTACTGTTAGATGTGCTGGAGATATATGTTCTGGTATCATAGCAAAATGTTTGGGCTCTGCACGAGCAAAAACAAAAGATAAATCAATCGAATGCCTTCTAATGCTTGTGGAGATAGAACGTCACGAGTTGGTTGTAGAAGAACTCCTGAAGGGTTTGTCTACTAAAAATCCGAAAGTTGTTGTCGGTTGTCTACAAACTCTCCGCGAAGCTTTAAAGTGGGATTATTATCGCTTATTACTGATTTATATTTAGTCTTTTTGGTCCAACTGTAGTTTCGGTGAAACCTCTTTTTAAAGAGTTTGGTCGACTCCTCGATGATCGAGACCAAGGCGTTAGAAATGAGACAAAAAATCTTATTGTTGAAGTCTACAGATGGGTCGGGGCTGGTACAAAAGATCTGTTGAAAGATATTAAACCAGTTGTGGTGAGTGTAGTGAATCCAGTTTTAAACACTGCTTTCAGATGAACGAGTTAAATGAACTATTTAGCTGTATTCCACCTGAGAAACCTGTCAGACTACGCTATTTACGCAGTCAGAAACCAAAAGAAACTATTTCAGGTGATGCCGTTGAAAACACCTCTGAACAGGTAGCTGCTTCAAATGAAGCCCCAACTGAAATTGATCTGAGTGATATGATTCCTCCGTCGGAGGTCCTTAGTAAAGTCCCCAGTGAGTACTGGCAACAAATAGTAAGGTCTCTTATGTGGTCGGGTTAATACTGTTTTTCAGACAGAAAAAAAGTGGCAAGATCGTCGTGATGCTCTGGAGGCACTTGAAAAGATTACAAACGTTCCGCGCATCGTACCAGGCGATTTTTCCGACCTTGTTAAGAGCTTACTGCAGGTGCGTTTTTCCATAAATGCTTATTGATAATTAAATTATAGGTCGTGAATAAAGATACCAACATTATGTTGGTAGCTCTTGCAGCTAAAATTTTGGGACAATTAGGAAGAGGACTGAAATCAAAGTTTAGTCCATATTCTCAACAAACTCTACAAGCTTGTTTAGGCAAGTTCAAAGAAAAGAAACCCAATGTTGTTCAAGCCCTAAGGGAAGCTGCCGATGCTGCAGTCTCCTCAGTAAGTCACTCATACATAATGCACATTTACTTTTTCTATTTTGTTAAGTTTAGTCTCCATTTAAATTTCCTCCATTATGTGATTTTCAGCACATTGTGTATTCTGTACACACAATTCAGTCACCATAGTTTCTCCTTGAGTCTCATTACTTAAATATGTGGCTGTGATTTTAACCGAAAGTTATGTCTGACTCAATTTTGTCGTGAATTACCGTTGATCAGTGTCCTTTTCAATATTTATGCCAATTCGCATTTGCTTGGCACAGATATTCCATAAACTGGGCTATAAGCCACATTGTGTGAGGGTTGGTGATACTTCCCAATTTAGCAGGCCTGAGTAGGGGCGGAGGGATTCATAACCAGAGCCATCTCTCCGAAAGTTGTGTGCGGATTCGTCACACCTTCAAATTACTATTATTTGTAGGATCACGATAGTCTCATCTACATTTAATTTAATACTTTATGGTGTTTTTAAAATGTGGTTTGCGTCACTATTCATCTAGTCCTCTAATTCATGTGAAATTCTCTTTCCTTTTAAATGTATGCTTAATACTTTTGGTCCTGTTTGTAAGTGTACTAACCTGAGGTAAAATTTGATTTATTTGCCCGGCTGTACTGATGTTTCATACTAGTTCCCTAGCGTATAACTCACGGAGTATAATCATTCAGGCAATGGACGTTTCAAATAAGTCAAAGGTGTAGTCAACAACTGAGAACTATAGAAGCGACTGTATTGTTCTGTGTTTGGTCCATTTGCACTCATGAGAAAGACGTTTTTACAAGCACTACTTTTTTCTGTTTGGAAAGAATACGAAAACACGGTAACATGGCGAACCAACAGTACTAAAAACGAAATCCAAGTTAGCAGTATATATATATATATATATATATACATGTGCTTTGAAAGTGTGCAACGCCTATTTGATAGGAGCTGGCGATGATTCTTAGTCGTTAGAAATACTGTAAGTGAAACATATAGACCTGTAATCGACTTGGTATGGGGGCTGACTGCTGGAATCAGTGGACCACAACATTCCCATAGCTCTACTCACACAATAGCTTTTCAACTTGCGAATAATGACTGTGGACAGTGGACAACTACAAAATCAATTTTTCCTAGCCACAACTAGTAATTAATGGGCCTTTACACTGATATGGAATGACTAGTCCTAATTAGCACAAGAAGAATTTTGATTAGTCGATTTCCAGATTGTTTGTTGATCACACTGTACTACGACCCTGGTTATTCAATGTATCAAGTAATGTGTTACTCATCAAGCCCTTCACCCGACTGCTGATTATCAGGGAATTAGGTCATCGGACCCTCTCTCCATTTTGAAAACAGTATTTCTTTCTATTAAGCTAGGAATTCGAGTTTCTGATGATCAGTTAGTAGAATCTTTAGCTTGATGGATGCTTGTCAGTTATACTTAATAGAGTTATTATACACTATTGTCTCTATGACTAAAACATTCCCATCCATTATATATTTACTGTCTGTTATGAAATCTGAACACAAGAGATTTATTCTGAGTAAGCTATAGAGAATTATCAGTCATGGCTTCATGTATGTGTAAACCCATATGCACAAAAGTTTCTTTAGTCTGTGTATTACATCATCTTTCCCTTTGCATAATACTATCATTTCGTTAGCATACCTCATAACATAACCCATATGTGCATACGTAACAAATACTAACAGCTGTCATTAGAAGGTCGTCACAATAATACCATCAATTTATCTAAAACGGTGTTATAGATAGAATATAAATATATTCTGTTGTCCAAACATTTTTTCTGTACTGCACTGTAATTTACCTTGTCGTGCAGAAGAGGGTATGTGGCTTTTTGGCTTAACTTTCAAAGATTCCTGGGTTTGAATGTCACTTTATCTACTTCAGTCTGGTGGACTTAGTCGCATCATCAATCCTCACAGTGTCTCGTATTCTGGCGTGTAGAAATATATGTTGAGTTGAATAAGTCGTGGTAATTCTTGTTCAGAAATTTAAGCAATTTCTTTGCCTTAAATTCATTGGATTTAATCCACTTATGTTTTCAAAATAGGTATACATCAATATTTCAAATCATCATATGAGCACATAGTTTAGAAAATATTAGCATTTTTATTTGAATTTCTGTTTCACTGTACATTACTTTCTCACGCTAGGTGATTTAGTAAATCTAAATGACATATTTGTATCATAATCGTAATTTATTGTGAACTGAAATTATTTTTCGAAAGTGAATAATATAAGGTGACGTCTAAATTTCAAGGTGTTTTACTATAGGGTGAACATCACTTCGTAATTTCGCCTTCGCCTCGTAACCTATATCGGTCACTACAAAATCACGTTATAATTCTTTCCCAGCAGTAATGTTTAATAAATGTCAACAGTAAATCGAAGTTGAGATACCGTTTTTCTTTCTCATCCACTGTTATTCAAAGTCAAGGTACTTGAGAAGATTTGGGAGTCGTATTAACTTGATGATATGGTTTGATCACCCTGAATTTAAGGCACTGTGAAATATTCAGTTTGTGTAGTAAATACACTTAAGCCTACAGAATAGAAATTTTTTGATAATCAAAAATAACTTAGCTCATCTCGGTCTTCACAGAACAAGTGGGCATTCTTTTCAAAAGAAATAAAATATCATGAAAGTCAAAGGGAAGTTACTGAATGGCAGCCTGAACTTCGGTTTGCTACTTAGATCTGTGTATTACTTAGGAACTCAAATATCGTACGGTTGTTAGGTCTAAATGATTGCTAAGAGAAGATAAACAGTCTCATGTTTGACAGTTAGATTCATGTTGATTCTAATGTAGTTGTCGATGTTCTGGGTTTTCCCTTGTGATTGTTTGACTTTGATTTGACTTAAAGGTTTGTGTTTTATGACTTATAAACAGATTGATTTGTTTCTATTCATTGAAAACAAATGTGGCGCAATACATTTACCATGAAACGTACTGCATAGATTGATAAAACAATATGGGGTAAAAGAGAAATAGTACGGTTGAGCAACAGCAGAATAAAAACAGACATAATATTCACAGTTATTCAAAAAGCATCCTTTACTTAATATTAGTTTTTGAAAGTGAAGAAAGGAAGAAATCGCATCAACAAATTTGATTCGGAACCATGTCTGACTATCTGGAGCCACTTAGCCAACTAATTTCAGGGTTAGCAAGGAGTGAGCGGTGTGGAGATGATTTTCGTAGCAAATCTTGAGGATACCTATGCAGGAGTTGCAAGATGATGTTGCTCACTGGAAGATCTCCACCATTTCCAAACACGCAGTTAGACCTCAGGATTGCTTGTATAGTGATGCTACCCTATGTGAGTAACTCCACGGGGGATAATGGTGATCAGATATGCAGAGTCACCCCACATATACTTGAAGAAACCAGTTTCCACAGGATTAGATCAAGATTACGCTGACTGAAGCATTACAAACCTGACCCTTAAAGGCCAGAATAACATTGCATCTGCTCCAGAAATAGCCCAGGTTGGTGTATGCCGTAATTATACGACCAGAAGTGTTATATGATACCTCTGAGGGCTCTCAGGCAATTACCTCAGTACCTGAAATGGACGGTTTCTAATATGAAGTTAGAAATATGAGATGGTAGACAGGTGGATTAAGTCAGAACTTTGCACGGAAGCATATCACATAAAATTATCGCACTTCACAGTGGCACACAGAGCGATATTACAAAAGTAAAAAAGAGATGAGACAAGAAAGCTAATAAAGCAATGATAATAGTAAGCTGATAAACTAACACCACCTGCGAATATTCATGTCGAGATTTCGGACATTGAGTCTTACACGTTCTTAAAACACGTTATTCAAATTCTTTTAGTTTCACAAAAGGGTATATCCCGTTTTTCATAATTATCACTAATTTTCAGGCGTCTCTGGATCATTTTGTGGATGATATTGTAGAAGCGTTGAGTCATAAAACGCCTGGTGTACGTGCAGAAGCAGTCTTGATTTTAAGTAGAATATTCAGGAAGTGTTCTGCCTCTTCGTTAAACAAAAAGCTATTAAAATCGTTTATTGTCCCTCTGTGCGTAACCTGCAATGATACTGTTCCTGAAGTACGTGAAAGCAGCTTTGCTGCTCTTGGCGCTGCAATGTTCGTTGTATCAGAAAAGATCATGAAACCATTTCTTAGTGAACTGGATTCTATTCGAATGGCGAGAATCAATGAATGTTGTGAACAGATAGCTTCTGAAGTTGGCAGTTCTAGTAATTCTGGTAAGTTCCTCTCTAACTTAATTTTTGCCACCGATGAGTCATTGGTGCAGATGATGGTTGCTTTCATGCATAAAATGATTTGTTATCCAACCATATAGAAACTAGAGGATTATTTAAGTGACTTTGGACTAGTGGAATTGTATTTTTCTTTCTTGCTGTATAACGTGTATGTGCATAGAATTTAACCCCTTTGGTGTAGGGAAATTCTGTGACAGAATAATTTTTCCAATTTTCATTTCGTATAACACGCAAATAGGGAGAAGTAGTCGGCCTTTGTATGTAAACGTAGGAGAAACATTAAACTGTATCGACAAGTGCGGGTAGTAGACTACTGTTCTTATTCATAGCTGAGGCATGAACGCTATAAGTAGATATGAAAGGGTTACAGGCTTTCTTACTCAAAGACTTCTTCGTCTGGTTGGCATTGCTAGGTATAGCAATGTAGTAGGTATGATAAAATTAAGTATAGTGTTTGATATGGAGAGTAAATTGGTGGGCAAAATCATGAACCTTCATCGATTGAAGTGTCTAGGACGTGTGCTACACATACTTGCTCACTCTCTCTCTCTCTCTCGTCAAGTAAACTTATTTGAAGTAGGACTAATTTTGAAAAAGATCAGGATTAATCAGAACAAACTGTGGCGTAAATGTATAAACTCATTAACTGTTGGTCTTAGCCATGTTATTATGTATATACACCGCTTATCTGGATTCCTTGGGATGCCGAAGATCGGTGGTTGCTGACTCTTGGCGTCTTAAAATCGTATGTAGTCGCAGGGATGTATTCACTTTTTCATGCGGGTCCTGAAATAGTTTATCAGTATTTTAGTTGTTCTTTTCGTCCCATCCGTATTTGTGTATTGGCTGTGCTTCTGAATGAGTTACAGGTGGAGCTGATTCAAAAGTCGACTAAAGTTGTCAACCCAGCATTTCCTTTGTTTCTTCTCTATGGTAATTAGATTCCATTCATTGTATCGGTCTCTTCTTGCATAATGATGTGGTTATTTGATATACTGTTCGGAGGTCTGTCTTATCTGTGGCCTGTTTTGCTTCAGTTGCCAGTGCTGTTAAATTGTCTTATATTTTCCTAGTACCTCTTCTCCACTCTTTTATTGGGCGTGCTGTAGATTGAACTCAGCTTCTCTTTTCCTTGTTTATTTTTGCACTAGTTCGTCTTGTGTTTCACCATCCTTTTCTCCTTTTTCGGCTTCCAGGTGTCTATGGAAAGCCATTGCTTGTCTTGCCTCTTTTCCCTTCCTATGACGGATATACAGTTTTCTTCCAATATCACTTTCAGAGAGTTGACTGTTCTTTGCTTAGTGATGTTTATATTTAGACTTTTTATTTTGATAAGAATTAATAATCTTATTTGTTACATTGCAGCTGCCCAGCCAACTAGCACTGCGAAAAATACTTCCGCATCGGCAAAGCCTGGTGCTGCGCCGCGCCGTGCAGCACCGCCAGTTACTCGTCCAAGCACAGCACCTGGCGATACCGGTCAGGCTACGACAGAGTCTACTACAAAAGCACCCTCAGCTTCCGGACCACCTAGTAAAAAACCAACTACTCGTGCAAAATCTGCTGCATCGACTTCAGATAAAGCGAAACCTGGAATCCCCACAGAAAACCTACTAACAGAAGATGAAATATCTCAGAAAGCTTCTGAGTGAGTTAATCTTAGCAACCACTTTTTATTTTGTGGTACTATTGGGGTTTTCGAACAGCTAATTTAAGTGACACAATGTCTGTTAACTTAATAACACTAAATTTATTGTTTAATTATTCATTCATCTACATGTGGCAAACAGAAGAACAACTCATTAGTTGTACTGTTCTGTGGTTTATATTCTACTATAAGTACAAATTTGTTGTATGCAAGTTGACGTATCCACGATTTGATTATGAATTCTGATATGAAATTATACTTTTATATTCATTTTACAACGGGCTGGGCCTCGTAAAGTTTCAGTGGAATGTTACTTAACAGTTATTTGCATTTTCATACACTTGATAATATAATAATTCACTCCTGTTCTTTGGCGGGGTGGTGGTACTATCTAGCTTCGCAAATTTCGGGAGGTATAGCACGGTTCAAATGTGTCACCCCATGGCTGGAAGTAGAATGCCTGAATAATCGAGCCTGTTGAAGCTGGCATCCCGTATATTTCTAATTGATGCATTCATCTATATATGGCCGTCTAAATGTAATTAGTAAATAAAGCGAATAAGTTTTCGTGAGGTTTTGATTTATTAAGATGCGCTGTTCATCAAAATGGCTGATTTGACGTTTATGTATTTTCTCACTGTCGGCAACTTGAAGGGACGCAGTCATATACGTGGTTCTATATTTCAGTTAATTTATTACCCAGATGTATGTGTTCAAATACGATTCGGTTTTTTACTCACTGAAATCGTTGTTTGTGTCATAAATTTAGGAGATTTCTCTCCTGTATTCACCTAATTTTCTGTTAATTTCACCCCAGACTTCTTGGTGAGGCAACTATGAAGCAAATGTCTGATACAAATTGGAAAGAACGTCTACAAGCCGTTGAACAATTGAAGTCCAGTTTTGAGTCTTCCACTTCTTCTGGTGTACCTACACAAATTTTGTGCCGTGCTGTGCTACTTAAGCCTGGAATTAAGGACACTAATTTTCAGGTATCCTACTTATTTTTATGTTGGATTGGATTCTGATTTTCTTCTAATTAGTGGTTTGATTGTTCATTTGACTAGAACTATATATTTTAACCTTTAACTACCGCTATCCTCTTAGAAATAAACTCAGCAGAATCGACAGCAGGCATATCTCAAAGGGGAGATATCTAAAACAAACATGACTAAGCAGTTAAATGGTCGTCGTAAAGATATCTGCATAAAAATAGAACACATACCTTTATGGTAGTCATTTATTCTGTTGTATTAACAGTTAATTGTATTTCTCGAAAATTTGCTGCATAACTGACAATTGCATAAATTCTCCACCAAATATAATGGACAACTAAGTGATTCCTTTCGAAAATCGAACGTAATTTAAATGTTTCTTAATGTTGTTCCTCAGGAAAGTACTTATTTATTACGTTTATTATGTAACTTTTATCGGGGAGTAGTTTAAGTCAATGTGCGTAAAGCAAAATGGTAATACTGTAACAACAGAAGACAAGGACCAGGCAACAGATTAAGGAAAATCAACACACATTTATAGATTTTCATGTACATTATTATGAGTCTTGTTAACAGAAAAACAGTCTTCTGATTGGTTGTTTCTCACTGAAAGCTAATCCTTAATCTCTTTGTGACTGTTTCTTGAATGCCAGATCATCTATATGCTAACTGTATCCGCCTACGCAAAGTCTTTGTTCTTATCTTTCTCACGACAAATATTTGGGACATAGACATTGACGTCTAACAATGTCTACCAATTTGGCTAGCAGCTAGCTTTCATCACAATACTACTTCAAACCAGTTAGAAAGTTAGTTACAACTGAAATATTAACATATTAGATTTCAGTCTGCCAACTTCAGTACCCTGAAAAGATTTTTCACGAAAAAGCCATATTTCACACTTACTTTGTGAGAGATGTTAACAACCGAGTTGCTCAGGATAAAGAAAATGAAACGAAATTTGAACTGTAGACCAACCATCTAAAAGTCAAGCGTTAAAGTCAATAAACAATTGATGTGAAAAACTATTAAGGGAAATAACCATCTAGTTATTTTCTTTTGTGTGTGTTCCAAAACATTTGTGTTAGTCATTTTGTGAATTTCTCAATCTTATACTCTGTTTTCCTTTGTGTTTAAAAATCAGTCAGTTTTTCTAGAAATCCCTTTACTACTCGACTCATAACAATGAAGATTGTTAAACTTGAGCAACATGTATATATTGTAAATGGTGTGGTGTGGTCGAACTGTAGGATTTAGTGGACTTTAAACTAAATATCTGTTGGAAAGCACTTTGAAAAAATTACTAAATAAGTATCTTAGAGGCATTCATCCTATGCTATTGCTACACATAAGTTGGATGAGCGAACCCTAAATCGGGACAGCTAATTGCCTCGTATTTGTTGTACTAAGAATCTGTTTCATTTGCTCGACAGTTATTAAATAAAACTAAAGTTATTGAGACAATTTTGCATACTTGTGTCGTGTTCTTGTTGAAATACTATGCTAGTAAGATAGGTAATTGTAATCACATAAGTCTGTGAACACAGTAAATTGAGTAACAATATTGTTTAGTAGAAATATATTTGTAAAAATCAATACACATGAAATGAACATTAAGTGTTATCTGATTTTGTGCACTATAAGTAAGGTAGGCAGGTAGGTAGGTAAGTATTTGTGTTAAGCTGTTTGAAGAAAGTGTGAAACACCTCTCATAATATCACAAATAATCACAAGTTTAATTCTCTTTTAACCACTCGTAGTGAAGAATTTGTCTTTAAAGCTTTATAAAATAAACTGTATATGTATTGAAAAATTTGTGTGACTTTTTGTTTACTCTCATCAAGGTTCTTCGTGCTCGTATTGAATATATCAATACAGTTCTGTCTTCGAGTACATCGGTCACCTCGAATCTTGCTGATCTACTTGTACAAGAGTTACTGGATAAGGTTGGTGATGTCAAAGTAGGTGACATTGTAAAAACTACACTGACAACACTAGCTGAAAAAACTAGTCTGGAGTTAGTAGGTGGTTGTGTAATGCGTACACTTTTTCAACTAAAAAATCCGCGTAGTCAAACAGAAGGCTTGGCTTGGTTAAATCAAAGTGTGCAGGAATTCGGATTTCGGTGAGTAGTAACTTTTGATCATGAATGTTAATACCTTAACAACTAAATGGCTAGAGTTGGTTAAAGTGTGGTTTTTGTGTTGTGTTTCTTGTCTAAAGAAATATTTGATCTACATAGTACTTTTAATTTGTTCATTAAGTTAACCTGTATTGTTAATATCTGTAGTTAGGGTGTCCGATGCTTTCAGTATTAAATCACTACTGTTTACATTTTACTGAGTGTTTATTTTTTCTCATATCTTTTTGGTCAGTAAAAATGTGTACACGAATAACAACTAAAACTGTTCAAGTATTGTTTTGTAGGGATTTGATTAATTGGATACGGGATTACATCATGAGCTGACATCGGGACAAAGTTAAACTTTCGACACCGCTAACAACCAATCACATTAAAGAGGCATTTATGATAAATGGAAACGTATATTTACAGAAAAATAGCATAAAAAAAGGATAAAACTGTTACAGGGAGTATCTTTCCCTAACATGTAACAGAAATATCTCCCAGTTAAGCATCGGACTGTCAATAGAAAAGTTACACCACATTCTGTACATATATTCATCCAAATGACTAAATGAGATCCTTTTGAGATTCATTTTCAGCCTTTATCCTATTTTTCAACCTGCTCCAAAATCCTTCAATAGAATTTGTATGTGTCCTCGTAACGCGATCCACAAGATCAATTAAATGGTTGAATCCATGATGAATATATCCCAGAGATTATAGGGAATTGTAACCTTTCCATTCGTCCGTGTGTATTATTGATCCCCGTCTTACAAGTCTGATAACAACGAAGTGATTTTCTCCATTTTCCACGTAGCAATATCTCTGCAATGCTGATACCATTGAACTGTTGAGATGAGGCTATTCTCCGTTTCAGCAGCTGCGGCTCTCACTGGCTGTTTCGGGACCCAGTAGTTGCAGATATACAAAATTTGCGTCAATAAGAAGTGTGACCTTGCAAAAAATGTTCATACAAAATATTAAAATTATCAGCTTACCCTCTCTAATGCTAACTTGCTTCAAGCATATTACACAATGATGGACAAATCCATCAGTTGACCTGCTATAGCTTTTTTAAGTCATGACACCATCGCACAAAAAAGTTCGCTCCTTCCGGAGCAACCCTAAATCCAGGCAATACTGGAAAACATTGTCCCCCTCGAATTGCAACCGTAACCTTGTTAGGGCACGCATTTGAAATGAATCAAGCGCTATACAACATTGAACTAACGTTCGTGAATCTCGGTATAATTCGACGTCGGTCGCTGATTGGTAGTGAGTGGTGCTTAAGGTTTAACTTGGCCGACATCGGGTTCGAACACCGGGAGGTGTGCACTGATGAAGAGTCCCAAACTAGGACGAAACAGCCGTCCAGTACTCCCAGGTTTTCCAAAGGTTCTCTAACCGAGGTCAGCTCATGATGAAATCCTGTAACCACCTAAAACTGTTGTTTCTGCTCTTGCATCCAATAAATCTCTTTTACGGATTATATCAGTTCTTTATTCAGGACAACCCCTAGCCTAACATTAATACTTGATTTTCATTAACCCCCTGGTTAACATCAAAGTTTTTACTGTAATATTTTTCTTCACTAGCCCCTTCTTGTAACTAACTGTCATTACAAATATTATTTATCATTTTTTGTTTATTGTATGTAGTATTCCGCCTCAAGAAGTCGTACCACTACTGAAAACTGGTCTAAATGCGACTAATCCATCTGTTCGACAGAATTCTCTAACATTTGCTGGAACTATTCATCTATTTCTTGGAGAACGTCTAGTCAATTTGTTATCAGATGAGAAGCCTGCCGTAGTCGCGTTATTGAATGCAGAATTCGCAAAAAATAAAGACCGCACACCTCCTGCCCCCACACGATGTTCCGCAACTCAAGCACTTCGGAAAGATTCAGTATCAGCTGGAAATGGTGGAACGGAGGGAGGATCGACTAATGTAGAGGTTATTCAAGAGGAGGAATCTGATGCTGATGCACTGCTTCCAAAAACGGATATCAGGTGAGTATTCATTTATCTTGTATAGGCTTTATCAAATTATATTAATAATTATTGAATATTTTGTTGCACTGTGCGAAGACATCACTGGATAAGGTCTGTGTAAAATGAATCAAAAATGGGGATATTAGCCAGGTACATTGAGTTCACCACTGATCGATTCTAACCTATGTCACACGAAGTTTCAGTAAAAATGTTGTTAGCTCTCAGCATAATTATAGTCTTATTTAGGCGAAATACGAGCAACGATATAAAGTGATTTCACCGTGGTCACTCTCTGTTTCTTCCTTCCGATTTACTAATTCCACACCTCTAACACCTAGTATTGTTTATGAAATTAGATTTTACGCTGCTATTTTATGTTTACTCTTTGACTTTACTGCAATTAACATCATATTTTATCAATTGTGTGTCGTTTGCACTGTTTTTTTTCCATTCCAGGGATCGTTTCACACCTGAATTATTAGGACTTTTAACAAGTAAAGCTTGGAAAGAACGTTTGGAAGCCTTGAATACTATTGAAAAGTTCTTATCTCCATCCATGATGATTGATGGTTCAAATGGGAAACTTCAAGAGCCATTGACTGCTATTGCTAAAGCTGCTAACGATGTAAATAAGAATTTAGCTAAACAAGCCTTGGGAATTTTGTCCTCATTCGCTTCATCATTGCCAAAATCAGACGCTGTAAACTACATAAAGTAAGAGATGGAGATTTTTCAAGTGACTCATTTTGAAAATCCACAACATTTTTTTGGTTCTACTGATTAATTAGCTACTTAAAGGAATAAGAATGTTGGTTTGTAATCATAAACCCTGTCTCTTAAAAGGCAGTCAGGAGAAATTGTCAGGGTGTTCCAGAAGGGTGTCAGTTTGCACATGCCAGTTTACGCCGTCTCTGGCGTAGACGAGATATCCGACTATCGACCAAAGGGCGGGTGTACTGCTCATCAGTCCGCTCCGTCCTCCTTTATGTCTGTGAGACTTGGCCACTGAGAGTGGAAAACATAAAAAGACTAGCTGTCTTTGATCATAGGTGCCTGCGTTCTATCTCCCGTGTGAAGTGGCATAATAAGGTGAGCAATATTGAGGTTAGACGTCGAGTTCTAGGTAAGCAGGGGAAATCAATCGATGAAGTCGTGAAGTTACAAAGACTGAGATGGTTAGGACATGTGTTACGTATGCCAAGTCATCGCCTCCCTCGACGAGCATTGTTAGCGGATATAGGGTCAGGCTGGAAAAAAGCTAGCGGCATTCAAACAAAACTTGGCATCAGTCAATGAAATCCACAACAGTTGGTCTAAGCCACGTAAAAAGGTGTAGACTTCCAGGCTGGGGTCCTCGGGACGGTAAAAATCTATGGTTGGAAACAATTGGTGACATGGCTCAAAACCGTTCTCAGTGGCGCAGATGCATCCACTCACTGTGACTTATGATCTTCAATGAAACTGTTTTGTATTTCTTTATTACTCCTTTGTCTCACACCTCTGCTCACTGTTTCTATTATGCTTTTCTTGTACTTTCTTCTCTTGCTTCGCGTGCTACACGGAATGTGGCGACTTGAACTTCCGCACATTTGTGCAAAGTTCTATGTCGAAAACAGACAGACAGACGGGTGTCATCTCAGAGAATGAGACATGCCTTAAATCCAGACGTTATAGTCGTCATGCTGGTTTTCTAACTCTACAATCTTCTATCTGATCCTTTATATTCATTGTGTTTAAATAAGTATGTCTATCGACATTAGTTTCAGAATGTGCATCGTTCGGCTTTATTCTTCGGAGGAAAACAAGAGTCTTGATGTTACATTTAACGAAGATGCAGTAAAGACTGGTGGTTTCACTTTTACTCCATTCATATAGGCAAGATCACGTAGAGAGGCATTAAGTAGAATAATAAAAAAGAGTGAATAGGTGTGAATATTAGTAAAATTGTGTTACTGAATTTTTGCGAATTTGTACACATTAACGTTGATTTCCCTACTAATTCACCCTTTTATACTTCTTCATTGTTTTTATTCTTGTAGCCGAATCATTTCATCCATCTTCACATAGTTAATAATATCGATTGACGTATTTTATTTTCAGATATACGGAGCCACCTATTTTAATCTGCCTTGGTGATTCTAAGGTTCACATACGCGAAGCAGCAGTGACTGCACTTACTTCATGGCAAGCTCGAGTTCCCATTTTATCAATGTTTGAAAATGACATGTTAGCTGATGCCTTGAAAGTAAGTATCTTCCTTCATGTTATTTTGTATGTAAAACTAGTTTTCTGAAGAGATTAGTAATATTATCTCAAATATGGATTCCTTGTTTTACACTGCTTTTTCTACCCACCAGTTGTAGATTTATAGAGAGTTGCCATAGTGAACTGAAAATTTGACATTGTTAAGTGTACATGAGTTTCAATGTAGTATTAATCACTGTAGAATATGTCATGGCAACGATTACAATAAATCAAAATACTTCAAACTGCACTCATCGTTATATTTTAAGTGTTACCACAAGCATTTTCTGAATAGGACCTCCACGAGATCATACAATTAATTTTTGTATGTTCATAAGATTGTTAAGTATAAGCAATTAAAAATTAATCCAGACTTTTTCTTCTTCTTAAAGTCTAAACACAATTCTGTAATCACATAATATTACTCTCTTCGTATATAGATGGAAAATCCTTTTCTGCGAACAGAGTTGCTTCGTTGGCTTCAAAGCGCTCTGTCACCGATGCCGCTGAATGCCTTGAGAAAAAATGCTGCAGAGATATTAGAAAATTTAATGCCTCAGGTATTCGCCTGTATTGAAGACCGTAATGCGGAAGCTCGTAAACAGGCCCAATCAGTACTTCCTTGTCTAATTCAAGTTTTCGGCTGGGAGCCGATATCTAAATGTGCCAAAAGTTTAAAATCTGGATCAAAAGATTCAGTTATGTCACATTTGGAGAAAGCCCGTGAAAGTGTAGCTGCCTCGCATCCTTCTGTGGCGGAGAAAAAGTCAACCTCATCACCCAAAGCAGTACGCGGCGGTGGCGGCAGTGCTGCTAGTGCACGTCCACAGTCGTCAAATTCATCAGCAGTTACTCCAACAGGTAATTGAAATATGTTATGCATTGTTGTTGTTTAAGATATTATTTGTTGAAATAATTATGTTCTGTTTATTAAAATATTTGACAGTGCAGTAATTGTTGCTTTCAGTGTGACTCAGATTATAACATACGAGATGCAATAAGTCAGTTTTAGTTTCTATGAATTACATTCACAAAGACATTTTCGACCACCCAGAATGTAGTAGTTTACCCTCGTCCATCGAAAAATGTGTTAATACTCTTTTGGGATTTAAGTCTCTAGGTATCTTAAAAAACTCCTTAGTGTTATGTAATATCTGTGTGATTGGGAAGTGATATGTGTTTCATTGTATGTTGTAGCCTAATATTTTTCCTAAGGAATAGTTTATTCCTAATCATTTTGTGTTGTTGATGGACATTGAATTTTAGATAATAGTGAAGAGTCTGAAGCTACTACACAATCTTCAAACACTACTTCCAAATCTGGTTCAGAGGCGAAGAAAAAGGTCGATGGTAAAAAACCTACCAGTGCCACGAAAAAGGCTGTTGTTGAACAGCCAACTGCATCTGTCATTCTATCAGCAAATAAGACAGCTAGAGCAGCCAGATTATCTGACGAGAAAAAGCGCAAGGTAACTAATATTTATCTCTTTTTATTCTATAGTTAGTCCTTCATTAATTTTCTTATTACATTAGTTGTCGAGATTTACAAACTTTTCGTTTAAGGCAGATACAGTGTGTACCACACATGTTCATCTTTGGATCTTCTTCAGAGTACTTTATTAAAATAAAATAGGAATAAGTAAAACAAAGTAATTTTTCAAGCATTCGTTTGTAGTATTTTTGTACTTAGTACTAAATGGAACCTGTATGTGAAATCACTCAAGAACAACAGGAATGCTGTAGATACTATGTATGTTACCACGACAACTGGAATTCAAACAAACAGCCGGTATCAAACCCAAAACGTAATTAATTTACAAGTTTTTTTAAGCAAAATCTTAGTCGCACAGCAATACTGAAGATGTAATTACTCGTAGACACATAAAGGGGAGAAGTCAGTGGAAATAGGTTAGCGCATTAGATCAATACGAGATGCTGTATACATGATTAGATGGCAAATAGACAAAATGGTACTGTGGCGTATGCTACTGATAAGATTTATCAGTAGTATACACATAAAGAGATGTTCATCGGCACAAAAACGTCAAATAACAGAGGGATAGATTTGACGTCAAAGAAAACCATTGATTCAGTGTTGAAGAGGTACATTGCAGACGTGAACGGAACACAAAGAAACACAATATGAAGGAAGGGCAGAAGCAGAACAACACGGAAGTTCAGTGCAAATGGTGCTTTGAAGATAAAGTGTACATAATTTGGCTATACAGAGATACCCGATTGCTAGTAAACATTCTTTTACCAAGTTCTACGTCTTCTAACGTTACGGTATCACCCATTGATTGATTGATTTATGACTGCATTAAATATGTGATTGTGTGAGCATTTGCTAGTTAACAAAGAAAGCTAGGTACACTGGCGTAGAGTCTGTCTGTCTGTCTGTCTGGATTCAACATAGAACTTGGCACCGAAGTGCAGCAGTTCGAGTTGCCACGTTCCAAATAGCACACAGAGGTAGACAAGAAGATGAGTGAAGAGAATCAATAGAGTTTGACAAGTATAAGAGTGAAACAGAATGGGTAATGGTAGAAAGGAATATGAAAGATTACAGAGACTGAATACATCTGCGCCATTGACAACGATTTTGAGCCATGTCACCTATTGTCTCCAGCCATTGATTCCTAGAGTCCCGAGGGCCCCAACCCGGGAGTCTGCATCTCCCTACCTGACTCAGTTTAACTGTCAAGGATTTCATGGATTGATGAGGCCATGTTTTTGTTTGGCCACCACTGGCTCTTTTCCAACCTGAACCTATATCAGCTAGCAATGCCCGTCGGGGGAGGCGGTGGTTAGGCATGCGCAGCACGTGACCTAGCCATCTTAGTCTATGTAACTTTATAGCCTCGTCGATTGATTTTCCCTCTTTGCCCAACACTCTACGCCTAACGTCAACATTACTTATCTTGTGAAACCACCTAACGTGAGACAGAGATCGCAGACATCTATGATCGAAAGCAGTCAACCTTTTCATGTCTTCAACGCGTATTGGCCATGTTTCAGAGCCATAGAGAAGGACGGAGCGAACTGATGAGCAGTACACACGTCCCTTGGTTGATAACCGGATGTCACGCCTACGCCAGAGATGGTGTAAGTCAGCGAAAGCAGCTCGAGCTTTTCGGATCCGTGCTGAGATTTCATCGCCAATCAGTCCGTTGGTGCTAATACAACTTCCCAAATAGGTGAAGTGGTCAACATGTTCTATCACTTCACTCCCTATCACTAAGTTAGGGTTGACGTGGTCCAGTCCTGTAGCAGCATCTTACATTTTGTAGGGGCGAATCGCATGCCAAACATACGAAGATTGCTGCTCAAGGTGTTCAGAAGACTCTGCATTTTGTCAGCATCCTCCCCTAACAGGACTATGTCATCTGCATATTCTAAGTCCATAAGACTATTCCCTGGTAACAAGTCGATTCCTAAGTCATTACGTTCAGTTAAGGATACTTCCATTAGCATATCTATGATGAAGTTAAACAGAAATGGGGAAAGTGGACATCCCTGTCGGACACCACTGGTTGTTACCAATTCAGATGACAATTCCCCATAAGCCCTTACACGACTACGTGAGTTTGAATAGAGTGCCTTGATTAGTGCAATGTACTTTCTTGGCACTCCCTTCACAGTCAGACATTGCCATAGTACCTTTCGATCCACGGAGTCGAAGGCCGCCTTCAAGTCAAGAAATATGACAATTGTTGGACGCCGAAAAGTGTGTCTATGTTCTAGAATCTGTCGAAGAGTGAAGATATGATCTATGCACCCTCTACCTGGTCTAAAGCCTGCTTGATTTTCCCTTGTCTGTTCCTCCCGAGTTCTGCTTAGTCTATGCATGATTACTGAGCCTAGGATTTTAGAGACTATGTTCGTTAGGCTGATCCCCCTATGATTATCACACGAGGACTTGTTTCCCTTCTTGAATATCGGTATAATAAGTGACTTACCCCAGTCTGATGGCACTGTCTCTGATTCCCAGACTTTGCCTAGTACCTCAGTTAATCTACAAACTAGTATGTCACCCCCATATTTAAACACCTCCGGAATAATTCCGTCGGGTCCTGCCGCTTTGCCTCGTTTCAAATTACTGATAGCTTTTGTGACCTCACTACAGACGGCGGACCAGTGTCTATATCCCATTCGGGTGTGTGGTGGATGTCGGGGAGGTTCAGTGTGGCTGTAGGCAAGTTAAATTGTCCTCAAAGTGTTCTTTCCAGCGTTCAAGGCGTCTATCCTGAGAGCTAATTAAGGAGCCATTTTTCTCAGAAATAGTCTCACTTATGAATTGCCTTCTCCCACCCGTTTCTGATGAGTCTAAAGAGTTGCCTAGTGTTGCCTATCGCCGATGCTTTTTCCATCTCTTTTGCCTTTGTCAGCCACCACTGTTCACGGTCCTTGCGGAGACTTTTAGTAAGTTTCCTTTTGTGCAGCAGATTGGTGTTGGATTTTTACTGGCGTAAAGATCCAACACCAATCTGTAATCTCCTCTGACTGATGATTTAGACAGTGTAGGTTAATTTAAATTTCCATATGACTACCAAAAATGGATTAATAAAGACTATAGTTTAAATATAGTCACAGTCTTCTTTTTTATATCTGTATTTCTGTTTTTATCGATCTCGTATATCACTTCTGTACTAAGCCATGGATCATACTTTCACAGTGGTAATTTTCTTTATTTCCACTAATGAATGTATAGATTACACCGTTATTGCAGTACTTGAGCATTAATGTGAGTGTACATACAACATACAAATTATTGTCGACAACAGTTATACGAAATTAATCACATCAGACTTGATAATCAAGTGATTCATAGACTAAATACGTAACCATTATTCTGCTAAATATTGTTAATGAGTATTAGGCAAAGTTAAACTTTCGACACCACTAGCAACCAATCAGCAAACGACCTTGAACGGACCAATCACATTAAATAGGCATATATGATGAATGGAAACGCATATTTATAGAAAAAAGCATAAAGAAGGATAAAACGGTTACAAGGAGTATCTTTCTCGAATATGTGAGAGAAACATCCCCCAGTTTAGCATGTGACTGTCAATGGCGAAGTCACAGCACATCCTGTACTTATATTCATCTGAACGGCTGTAAATGAGATCCTTTTCAGATCCATTTATAGCCCTTATCTTGTTTTTCAAGCGGCCCCGTAAACCTTCAGTGGAATTCGTATGAGTCGTCATAACGGGATCCACACAACAAACAAGTGATTGTCTCTATTTTACACGACGCAATTTCTCTGCAATGCTGGTACCACTAAACTGTTGAGACAAGACTATCCTCAGTCTCGGCAGCTGCTGCTCTCACCGGCTGTTTCAACACCCAGTAATTGCGGATATACAAAATTTGGGTCAGGGAGAGATGTGACCTAGCGGAAAAATTTCCCACGAAATATTAAAATTATCAGCTTACCCTCTCTAATACTAGCATGCTTCAAACATATAGCACAACGATGAACAAACCCACCAGTTGATCTGCTATAGGTTTTTAAAGTCATGATACCAACACAAGAACAAGTTCGCTCCTTACGGAGCAATTTAAATCCAGACAATACTGGAAAACACTAACCTCCTCAGATTGCAGCCGTAACCTTGTAAGGTCACGCATTAGAAATGAATCAAGCGCTCTACAACATTGAACTACGTTCGTGAATCTCATTGGATAATTCGACATCGTTCGTAAATCTCATTGGATAATTCGCCGATTGGTAGTTAGTGGTGTCGAAAGTTTAACTTCGCCGAGTATTACATTCTCTTCGGAGAACAATCCTTGACTAAAAACAACGTTTATACTTTCTTACTTAGTGACGTAATTATCTTGAGATGCGATAACATGCAACATGAATTTTGGCAATTAATGTAGAATAATAAGAAAACCGAATGACTGCGTTCCTCTTTTAAATGATGATGATGATGAAAGCGAACATGTGTGTCTAAATAGATTCCTCCTACTGAGTCACCTTGCTAATTTGTGCTTTCACTTTAGCAATAATCAGTTTCATTGAAAGCTAATGAAAAATGTATTTCTACACGAGAACCAACATTAACTACAAAGAGTTAGATTCAAAAGGATTTAAGGGAGTGGCCAAAACAAAATATTACTATCATCTTAACTGTGTAAACCATATCTCTCCGTAGTCTAGAAGACAATAATAGTGAATTTTCAAAAGCCCTAAACTGGTGTTGATTATCGCTAATATTTCTGATATCTTCATTAAGGTTTAATGGGTTCATCGTTTAGATATATCGTTCATTACTGCTACCGAATTCGGCAGCTTGTACTAATTCCTATTAGAGATTTGAATTTCTCCCAGTTATCTGTTTCAGCTAATTTTGGAGTGATTTTTTCAGGGAATTCGGTAATTTTAAGCAAACTAATTATTATGTGAAGGCTAAACAAGTTTTTTTTTTATTAGTGAAGTACATTTTTATGTCACTGTTGTGAATTTATACTAAGCAAATGTTGCCAAGTTAAAATCGCTCGAAAGTTATGCCTAATAAAGAACTTTTAATCGATAACAGTTTAACCAATTATTCACTTGAATATAATTTATTCAAATCTTCTACTTGTTTTAGCCCTGTTGTTTCATGGTTATTTACTCTGATTTTTGGACATTTTCAATTCACAGCTTCTGAAATGGGATTTCGATTCGCCTACAAAAGATCATATACAACAGTTGAATACATTATTCAGTGCAGCAGGTGCTTCTCCTGAATTCCATGCTCTTTTGTTCCATACAGATTTTCGACAACATATTAAAGCAATTGACCAGCTTTCTCAATTATTAGATACACCTGGAGGTTCAGAAGCAACTTTTGTAAATGTGGATATCATCTTGAGGTGGATTGTTCTTCGATTCTTTGAAACTAATCCTGTTGTTTTGGGAAGATGTAGGTTGTTGGTTCATTTTTTTATCATCTCATTTAATCTTGTTTAGTTTTCATGTGCGTGTCATAACGACTGTGTCATTTTTTGACACTTATCATCCTTCGAGTTAAAATTCCACATTAGTTTGTTTATTAGACGTATCACACAGTGAAACAGTATTGTATACTGGATGACGTTTCGAACACAATTTATTGTTCATAATCATATCAATTGTGGTCACACGACTTTTAGTTTTATAGTTTTCTTTGTCGTCTCCTATTTGTCGTATGGGTTGTAGAATTTTCCATATATCTGGGACAGGTTAAATATTAAAAATGGCTATATACAGATTTTTATTAGCTCTTGGTTAGTGGTCGACTTCTATTGGAATATATATTTCAGCTAGGATGTCAAATTTTTTTCACACAGGTAGGTAAATATATATAGGTTATTTATATTCAGTGTATGAAATGAGACTACTAGCTATTATAGCGTGAGAACGGTAACAGATCATACAGTCATGTGAAATAATGCAAGACTTAGGTCAATATTTCTCAGTATGGAAGTGTATGAATGCAGTGTATATGAGACTATTATTGTTGTTGATGTAAGTACTATGATTTATAATTCAACCATATTGTCACTTGAAATTCACTCAGGTATGCACGAATTTGTGGGTGTGAAGACTTGAGGGTAAAAGGTGTGTTGCTAAGTTGCTCAAATACAATAAAATAAATGTCTCTGAATTGTAATTCCCACATAATTCTGTGCTGAATTAATTAGTAATGTTTGACTGTATAAGGTATTTGGCTAAGTCATTCCAACATAACATCATTTCATTTAGATTCGTAATCCTAAGATGGCATCTTAAAAGTAGACCTGGGTTAAATGTTCACTGAAGAAAGTGAGTTGGAAGTGAGTTCACAATGTAAGCGACATTCGCCTTATTATTCGTTTGACATTTATCTATCTGCCACAGCTTACTAATCCCCAGTCTCTATACTCATTAAAGGTGACTGTTAAGATCTGTCAATATATCCCTACGGACACTGACAATTACTGGATTTCATCATCAGCTGACATTAGTTAGAGAACCATTATAAAACCTGGGAGTACTGGACAGCTGTTTCGTCCTAGTTTGGGACTCTTCATCAGTACGCACCCCGCCGGGGTTCGAACACAGGACCTTCTGGTTACAAGGCGAGCTCGTATGCCATTAAGCCACTGGGACCTGACCCAATGGCCCATGAATTCTAACTTCTGCCAATTCACGACATAGCGCGACCCCTAGCCAATATCTTCTGCGAGTATTTGTCCTCACATCCGACCTGCTGCACCCTACTGGTCATGACTTCTCACAATTCACTAGACTGTAATTAGAATTGGATTTGTAATAAAAAGGAGTTTAATTTTGCATTTTCCCGTATATCTTACGCATTAAATGTTCCTCAGTTCGCATTTACTATCTTAGACTGGGAATATATTAGTGAAAATACTGTAAATATTTTTGCACATTTTTCAGATTAAAGTTATGCAAATATATATGTCTTCGGTACAGCATTTGTGTGATTTTCAAACTTTTTTTCCTTCCGCGGAAGCGCTGAAATTACATCTGATCACTAGTAAGACAATATATTTTCAACAGCAGTAATATCTTATGTATTTGACCATAAGACTCATACTGTAGTTTTCGCTCAAGCTTATAATACTGTTGAAGCGAATCCCGCAAATTCTGAACTAATGTTTTTCTTCTCCTGTATTATAAGTAAATTCTGAAATGACTTGATATTCCGTAAAATAATTTCACTCTGATGTTTTTTCGTATTACTTCAGCACATACTAGGTTTCTTTGAAGCACACAAAATATTGATTTAGCCCTAGACTGGATTATTAATTATCAAAGTAAATTCATTCCATTCTAAATGTAGGATAAAAACGCAGGTTTACGAGTAGATGTCATCTCAGGATGTCTTTATATCATTAGTACATAATAATATCTGTATATGAACTTATCACTACAATCCTTCGAACAGTAAAGGGTTCTACAATCATATGCGTTAAACATTAGACAGACGCTAGCAAAGCATTTAAAGGTGTATTTGCCAAATACAGGCTAATCTACTGAATTGGATTAGTCGTCTATCATCCATTATTACAAACCATGTCTTTGTCTTTAGAAAAAACTCGGGTAGTCGGTTTCATTGACGTGACCGTCAAAGTGGTATAACTACTAGTTGTACCTCAAACGCCTCCGCCTAATATTAACAGAATCAGTTACAGTTTACACTTGACTACCTTATATAATTCTTTATTTATGTCACTGATCGTTATGTAATAAATAAGCTGAATAATGATTCTTTGGATATAATTGCAATCACCGTTACATGACCCATCATCATCACTGAATTGGTATTTCGATATTAACTATAAAATACATCTATTAGGTGTAGAACTGCTAGAGAAATAGTGGAAAAAATAGAGAATTAATCGTCAAATAAGTCGTTCTTTTGAAATATCAACGAACGTCTCTGAACACTAACAATCCTTTTGTCGTGGTGGTTTGTGTGTTACTGAACAGATGCACCATTATGCAACATTTTAGGTCAAATCTTATATCACTTATCAGGACTTTCGCAGTGATGTGAAAGAAAGAATAAGAAGAAGAGAACAATTCATTGTCTTATATTATTCTCGAAAATAAAAGTTTTGTGTACATCTACTTTATAGTAACATTATTACTTTTTTTCTTTTTATTACAGGTATGGATTATTTAACAAAGTTATTTGTTCAGATGTCAGAGTCTGGAGTAAATCTTTCTGAACACGAAGGAGGTTCATTTCTTCCTTATTTAGTAATGAAAGTTGGTGATCCAAAAGATATGATTCGTCAAAGTATTCGTGGGATAATGAAGCTTGTAGTTAATCTCTATCCACCTAGTCGACTGTTCACCTATCTAACAAACGGCATCAAAGCAAAGACAAACAAAACAAGACAGGGTTAGTTTTTTTTTATCACTACTGTTCAGCGATTAAAAGAAACCTGAACACATGATTTAATTGGTGGGTGGTGACTAGCAGTGGAATCCAGGGTGTGCATTTCGTCCTATTTGGGACTCGTCAGTTGGATGTACTTGCATTTCTCAGTGAGTGATGATGTTCCCACCGAGGAACGAACCTAGTGCGCATAATGTCAAACGCCAAAGCTGACGAGTCCCAAATAGGACGAAATGCGCATCCTGGGTACCACTGCTAGTCACCAATCCACCAATAAATACTAATTAAATGCCCAGACATCGTCGAAGCATCTGCACAAGAAGCCGATATGTCAACCTGAGACCAAGCACTTCGGTCCATTCATTCGACGGGAAATTCTGAAATTCAATTACATCTTATGATTAATTCAAATTTGTTTCAGCTGTTTGAATATTGTATGTCTCTGCCTATTTCGTTTTTCTAGAGTGTTTGGAGGAGATGGGTTCACTGATTGATCGATTTGGACTGAATGTTTGTCAGCCGTCTGTCCCTGTAGCAATCAAACTTATTGCTCAACAAATAGGTGATCGTGATAGTGGAGTTCGATCAGCTGCTTTAAATTCCCTACTATCTGCTTACGCTATCGTTGGCGAACAGTTATGGAAAATAATCGGTGATGTAAGAAATAATTTATTTTTATGCACTCTAGTTTTTGACATTTTTGATTGTGTAAGCTATGACTGATGCTTCCAGCCTAAACAAAATGTTTAAGCTATATATACAAGATACAGGAAAATATGGCTGAAAGTGTTGCTAGATTGATATTATTTCCCATCGCATGGTAGTTTTGCATTATAATTTTCCATTTCTACGACGACATTTATTTCACACAGTCGATTCCCTTAATTAGTTTCAATAGAGACTGGGGGAGAGAACGAACACACTTGCAGGATAAGAGGAGCTAATGTCTTTTTAGCTTACGGTCTCCCATTAGCTAATAACAGTCTAAAAAGTTCATATAAGTTATTATAAATGCAAAAATATATGACTACAAAAATTGAGTCAGTTGCAAGGTCACGCTTGAAGATGAAAAGGTATGCATACCACACAGTAATCTTTGTCTCACATCATAGCTATCTTAATCCTTGAAAATTCATACCCTAATTGGTTAACGCACTTTCAGTATCTAATGCTATTTTCAGCCGGCACACCGCTTGTTTCTATCATATACGAGAATCGCTACAAAGACACCTATCATCTCTTCTTCTTACGCATTCCAGAATACGTTGTACCTTCATTTAGCAGTTCGCAAAGCGTTAACACTCTATAGTGTGTTAATTAGCAGATGACTAGTGCATATTTTTGTATTTGTTCTAAAGTTTATCATGACGTGTTATTTACAGTGACATAGTGTGACACGACTAAAGCATAGTAAGAGGTACTTGCTGACTTCAACTTTATATAAAATTTGCAAATAGTAAGTATTGATGGCGCAGAGAACATCTATTATGTCGGGGATTAATAGTGATTGACTGTTGTCTTGTTGGTAAGATACTTCAGAGGAAGTTTTAGATTGAAGAAGGCGTGATAGTCATCACTGTTCCTTGTCAGGGAATAGTGTAGCCACTCTTAAATTTTCTGTTTTATGTAAGCATTCTATCTTCTATCATGTCATATGGCGGCAAACGGATCAACGACGGTACTCCACAGTAGGAATGATTTATTCGCATACAAGGTCAAGTATGAAAATTAGTGCTGACACCGGCTAATATAGCCGCCTGTCACACTTTGCAGCGAAGTCTTGAGTCCTACGATTAGCATTTCGTCATTACTTCATCACTGTAGTTCATAAGTTGCAGTATCTAGAGGACTAGTTTGTTTTTGTCTGTACTTAGTTCGCCCCTCAGATTATTATTCTAAGTCGTTAGACAGTGGGTATTTTCATCTCCGTGTAGAACGTAGATGAGGGCTCTGTTCGCAACAGAGAAAGTTAGAGCAACAATTGGACGAGTGGGAAAATATACCTGAAAGGAGAAATTCTTAGGATAGCTGAAAAATAGTTACTCAACATCCGAAATGAAATTAAGTCGCTGAAACACACATCAATAAAGTTATTCTTCGTCGTCCTCTGTTGTCTGCTAAATTCTTTTGACTGACAGATTTTTACGATATTGTTGATGAAAAACCATTGTCACCAGTGGAAGCATATACCGTCGTTATCATCGTTACACTAGCGAGATTTTTCTTGAATTTCAATGGTAATTAATATTCATCCTAATTATTCATTATCATGGATGTAATAATTAATTCAAAGCGCACCAAGTTCAAAGGAATCATGGAGGATAAAAAACAGTCATGCGATTTATCTTAAAATTGATAATTTCAGTATTATTTTTGACTACTAGCAGCTACACATGATTTGTTCTACTGTTTTCATCAAGTTTTCAAACGGATCACTTAGTTTAGTTACTTAAAGTGATACATCAGTTTGCTTTTGATAAACTATCAAAATAACACTATGAAATGTAACTTTTTCTCGGAATCCTTGGGAATAAATGATAGTGTGGTGAGAACTGGTTGCAAGCCAAAATTGTAGACAGCAATTTATGTCACTGTTAGGTCCCGAATCGAGGTCATGAGAAAGACAATAACAAAGCTTAACCTAGAGGAACTAACCAATTAATCACAGCAGACTTAACGTGTACAAATAAGATTCGCAGATATATGACTTAACTCTCTGAGAAACGGTCACAAGCAGTACAGAATAACCTTCAGCAAGAAAACAACCAATCAGAAGACGCTGCTTCTCTGCTGACAATAATGTACAAAAAAATCTACAAATTACTCTTGATTTTCTCAATAAACGATCTGTTGTCCAGTCTTTATCTTCTGTCGTTACAACAGTAATAATAATACCATCAATATCAGGCTTCAGCCTCTGTAGGACAAGTCCTAGGTAATAAAATCAAGTCAGTGTAACAAGTTAATGAGTTATTGACTGCGTCGTCAGTTGCGTAAATATCTTTAACAAAGCATTTGTAATTTGAAAATGCCGGATTCGAAGGGCTATATATATATATATTACTATTATTAATATTATTATTAACACTGGTGTCTTCTATCACATCTCGTTGTTTTGGTTTAGATCCCTGAGAAAGAACGTTCAATGTTAGAGGAACGTATTAAACGCTCTGGTCATGTACCAGCTCCTGAAAATTTTGAACCGAAAGCTGTTGCAAGACCAAGCACTGCAAGACGGTATGTGTTATGGCCAGCCATTTAAAATGTATTATTTTTTCCCATAATCTTATCCGCTCCATTTACATTGATTATTTAGTGAGACGATTAATCTGTCTTGCCTCAGGACTTTTGTTCATCTGCGATAATAATTCATAATTCCAATATTCTTTTGACTCTTTTAGGGACTTTCTCCTTGTCTGTGGATTACTCTGCAGCCCTGTTACAAATCATACATTTATGCACTGAGAAATTATAGAAGACAATTCGTTATATTCACCATTTCGTTTATATTATTATTACACGTTTAAAACTGTTCATTCATTTTCATTTTCAGTGAACCATCTGATTCTCGTCGCCCCGCAGAACCTATTCCTCAAGAATACCGCCGTCAGCAACCTGTTTCTGCAGCGCATGCTAAAGCTCGCGCTATGTTAAACGAACTAGGTGACTTATCACCTGAAAAAGCCCCAACTATGCCTTCACTAATTCAGTTAGATGCTGATATCAATGATCTCTTCCAACCTGTTGAAATGCCTCCTCTTAAGTAAGTCGCCATTTTGTTTATTCATACCTTTATATAGAAAAATGAATTGATATAACTTCGTTCTATATATATGTGTCACCTTTTGTTTTATATGTACTTTTTTTATTCATTATAGAAACCATGCTCGTCAAACAATCTTAAATGCATTACTACGAACAAGCCCTGATACCGCTTCAGCTATCACCATGGTTGTAACAGCTATATCTTCAAACGATTTACTTGTTAGTTGTCATGCTCTGGCAGAAATTGATACTGTTCTTAAGGGTAAGATTCTCGAATATCATGACAATTATTATTTTCATCAATACTATTATTATTATTATTATTATCAGTATTTCAGACTGATAAAGTGAAAAGCTGCTACAGTTACAGTTTACTTTAATATTTTTTTTTACCTTTTTTCGGTGTAGACGAGAAGTGGTACCTCCTACTAAACCATGTCAATCAAATTCTAATGCTCATTACAATGCAGTTACGACAGGTTACTTCTAGGTATTTTGGAGATCCTTCAGTCACGGAAGATCAATTGTGCAAATTAATGCAATCCCACCTTTCAGCCCTTGAATCTGTGAGTTTAGGTTATCTTTATACTTGCCACAGTAAAGGTATTTGTAGACGCTTGTATATATAATTCTCGTGGTTTTTATCGAAAACCGATTATTATTTTAAGTGTTGAAATATTTCAAAGTTTAAGTTATTGTACTGACAGGAAAACCTTATAGTGTGGGATATGCAATACACTACTGTTAGGTAAAAGATCTCAAACTGGTACTTGCCTTGGCTGTATAGAATTCTGCTTTGTCATTTTCTTTTCATAATAATTCCAGCATAACTTAGAATGTGGAAATGTCGCGTAACTGTCTATTTATATTTTAGATGTTCATTGTCTTTTTCAGTAATGTTTTAGACGCTTGTATCGTCTACATTACACACAAAAAATTACCTGTATAGCCAGCGAAACCATGTAGTCTAAAAAGTTAGCAGTTTACTTGAGGTCAAGTGATGATATCCAGAATTTCAACGCTATGCATCTTAAAGTGTTTTTTTTCACTGCGTTAATCACCACACACATTTGGGGGGATGTTTCTTTTGAACCAAGAAAAACTAATTTCAGCACAAGTTTAGATTTTATATGTGAGCAATTTGCATTACTTACTTCCAGCATTATTGCGAATTTGTTTTCATTTATTCTGCTCTTTGGCAACTTTCACTTTTTTAGCACATTTAGCCCAAAGATTTTCTCTAGCTAATTGAGTTTTGATTCCCTCTCTCTTTGTTACTTGACATATACACATGTGTAATTTTCTGTAACTGTTATTTTAATTTTAATTCATTTAACGACCGCTTAAAAACATTACTAATCTTTAAATTTAGCTTTTCAATCGTCCAACATTGGGTCGTGAAGCTTCACGTGAAACATTAAGAGAGTTAATTCAGTCATTGCTTCACATGATGCTAGATGAAAGAACAACAGAAATGCCTGTTGGAATTAACGTCATCAGGTCGATCAATGCACTATTTGTTCGGATATTGGAAACTGCCAACGGAACACGCATTCTAAGGTAGGTCACTTCTTCTAACTTGTAATCTCATTGCACTTTCTGTGTTGTTGTTGTTTTTTATTATGTCTTTGAAATTTATGCTAATGAAAGACAAGTATTCTGAAGATGGTTCTCCTTATTTTGCTAGATCAACTAGAAAGCTTTTGCAAATTCACCCACATATGCGTACATGCAATGCTTATTCGTAATTTCATAGGAAATAGAGCTTTGGGACTTTTGAATCCCGAAATGGGCTTATTACTGTTCAATAAGTAGGGTTGACTTAAATTAGCTGATGTATTTTGCTTCTACTGAAGACTTACCCTACAACAACACAGAGAGTGATATTATCTAGCCATTCACAATTCTGAAGGCCAAATCATCACATGTGTCCACTTCAAACGTGCTTACATCAGTTCACCTGTTCCTGTGGAGCTAAGTGCACAGGTACATATTCATCTTTCATCACTCCTCAAAGGCCTCCATATCAAGTTGAAGACTACTATTGCGGTGAGTGTTACTTGTAGCCAGATATAAGTAGTATATCAGTAAACGAATTCAGAAAAGTAACAATATGTTTTGGATACTAGAAAAACCCATTCGAAGAAGAGAACGGTCAGAAGAACGACACAAACACTGTAGAGAATCCAACAAGCTATCGAATGTGGTAATATTCGACCAATTCTCAAATTATGTACAGATAAAGTATTGAAGGTAAGTTATACCAAATTTATGTACCTACAATGCTTTGTCCCAATAAACACGCCTTCGAGTTTCATCGGTCCTTTTTTCTTTACGCGATTTCCTTTAGTCCTCCCTCCATTCCTTTGTTGAATTAAATAAGAATTATAACTGTATGGACTTATGTATGTAAATTGCAATTGTACAACTTTTGAGAATGAAATTGCAGTAAAGATATCTTCGTTGAACTTGATTTTTTTCTCTATTAACATTATGGATATTTCCCACGATTGTCTCTGTCGCAAAACAATCATCCACCGCTAAAATCTACATACCTAACTTATCAGTTATTCACCAAAAATATCCATTGAGTCATGAAGAAAATAAAAGACAGATTCAGCGAGGAAAATTTTCTTTATCGACGAAATCGTCTTCAGAGACTGTATAGTCGTATTTATACTTACAAAAATATATAGTGGTCTATTATTGAGTAATAAGGGGTGACATAATTGATATGATTACTCAGAAGTTTCTTTAGAAGTGAAAATTAAAAGTTGTAAATTACGTGGTACTCAATGGCACAAAGATAGAAATTTGGTATGGTTAAAATTGCTATTGAGTGAGAATAAAGCTTTTTAGTGTCAATTTAACAAGTGTGAAGAGGGTGTGAAATGTACGGATGGAGCGTATGAGAGTGGTAATAGTGAATTAATTATCAGTTATTCAATTTTCCATTAGAACTACAAGAGTCGTTTATCACAATCTCTTTCTACTTTGAATTTATGTGATATTACGTATAGACAATTAGAGTTTTGAATTTTTCTTTGCGTAATTTTTATGACGTATCCTAAAATGTGTATTTCGTCTCATACATAAATCACAGTGACTGTCGGCTTTATGGCGATCAAGAATTCTTCGTACGCTATAGTTTCCATGAATTCTATTTTTAGAATTAAGTTTATTGTCTTTGGTTTGACGATAGATAGTTAGTTAGATAAATATCATCCATGGTCCATTTTTGTTTCAAAACTAAACACCATAGTTTACTTGTGTGGTAATGTACAATTAGTGCAGCAGATGAGATATATAAATGAATAATTTAACAATGTGTTGAAAGACCTATACACATACTGTATTTTCATTATATTTGTTTATATTTTTAGCGCTCTCATCAGGTTACTGCATGAGTGTGTCAGTAATGGACATTCCTCAAATAAATTTACTCATGCTATCCTGAAGAGTATTTGGCGTGTTACTAAAGGAATGGATACTGCATGTAAGTTCACTGAATACATATAGCTATGATGGTAGATGTGTGTGTTTGCATTAGTTTTTTATTTTGTCTACTATCTTTAAACATGAAAGATAAACTATGGATACTTTCTATATTGGGTAAATCGTTTTTACTTACAGAGAATGTTCTACATTAGTGTGTAACTGTACAATATCTTCCATGATTTTGAGTTTGCACTGTTTTTTGTTGTAGTCATTGTAACTGTCATTTATAAATACATTGTGAAAATCACCCTGCTCAGAGTAACCCACACTAATACTCATTGTAACCACATTTTTTCCCTTCACATTCCAAGTGGAACATAGGGCTTCAAGCCAGAAGGTTTGAAGTTTCTATACTAGTGTTTTTATTTTTACAGGATGGGGTTGCTGACAACCTCTTGCTTAACCTTCCCTCTTTATCAGTTTTACTACTGTCTTAGCGAGGTAAACGAGTGCATCGGTCGGGAATGGAACCCCGGACTATGTGCATGGTCGGCGAGCGTGCTAACCGCTATGCCACACCGACTCACGACCAATATTGTGGTACATGAAAAATCTGTTTCAGATAACTGGGTTCGAACTAACTAACTAATTCTAAAAAACAATTACAAGAAACTAGAAAGCCTAGTGCAGTCACTTTTGGAGATAGCATTTCGTTATGACTATCAGTTCAGTCCTACAAAGGCTTCACTATAAAGCAGTTATTGTCAGGAAGGTGAGGGCATTTTCAGACGCTTACTGAGATACTAGTTTATAGAAACTACGTGACATATAAAATTCGCAAGGTGAGGTATGCTTCAGTTTATTTTTCTAGCTCATTATCAGTGTCAGATAAAAATAACTGACTTGTAGTTAGCACTTTTGGTTCAAAGATTTTCTGTGTAGTAAATTATAACTCCAGATTTCATTCCAAAATTCCAACTGCGCACAACTTGTTCTACATTTATTAATCCAGATAGCATGGTTACACTGGCAAATACAAACAACGTAGGATCTGTCACAATTGCCAGACTTTACAGTAGTATATCTTGATAAAGTCATTGGTTTAAAAGGAAACTAGTAAGCAAATCGACAATCAGAAGAATGCTAGAGTAAAGTGAAAAAGACCGATGAAGCTCGAAGGTGTGTTTATTGGGACAAAGCATTGTAGGTACATAAATTTGGTATAACTTATCTTCAATACTTTATCTGTACATCATTTGAGAATTGGTCGAATATTACCACATTCGATAGCTCGTTGGATTCTCTACAGTGTTTGTGTCGTTCTTCTGACCGTTCTCTTCTTCGAATGGGTTTTTCTAGTATCCAAAACATATTGTTACTTTTCTGAATTCGTTTACTGATATACTACCTATATCTGACTATAAGTAACACCACACTGGTACAAAGGGAAAGCTCATTGTTTTATTGGAGATGTTCTGTTGAAGTGGTGGTGTGAATGATTCTCAGTTGCATTTCATACAATATTCAAGCCTTTATTTGGGATTTGTAGAATATCTGTCTGTCTGTCTGTTTTCGACATAGAACTTTGCACAAATGTGCGGAAGTTCAAGTCTCCACATTCCGTGTAGCACGCGAAGCAAGAGAAGAAAGTACAAGAAAAGCATAATAGAAACAGTGAGCAGAGGTGTGAGACAAAGGAGTAATAAAGAAATACAAAACAGTTTCATTGAAGATCATAAGTCACAGTGAGTGGATGCATCTGCGCCACTGAGAACGGTTTTGAGCCATGTCACCAATTGTTTCCAACCATAGATTTTTACCGTCCCGAGGACCCCAAACAGGAAGTCTACACCTTTCTACGTGGCTTAGACCAACTGTTGTGGATTTCATTGACTGATGCCAAGTTTTTGTTTGAATGCCGCTAGCTTTTTTCCAGTCTGACCCTATATCTGCTAACATTGCTCTTGTGTCGAGGGAGGCTATGGCTTGGCATACGTAACACATGTCCTTACCATCTCAGTCTTTGTAACTTCACGACTTCGTCGATTGATTTCCCCTGTTTACCTAGAACTCTACGCCTAACCAATTCTCAAATGATGTACAGATAAAGCATTGGAGATAAGGTATATCAAATTTATGTATCTACAATAAGTTTGTCCCATTGAACACGCCTTCGAGTTTCATCGGTCCTTTTTTCTTTACGCGATTTCCTTTAGTCCTCCCTCCATTCCTTTGTTGAATTAAATAAGAATTATAACTGTATGGACTTTTGTATGTAAATTGCAATTGTACAACTTTTGAGAATGAAATTGCAGTAAAGATATCTTCGTTGAACTTGATTTTTTTCTCTATTAACATTATGGATATTTCCCACGATTGTCTCTGTCGCAAAACAATCATCCACCGCTAAAATCTACATACCTAACTTATCAGTTATTCACCAAAAATATCCATTGAGTCATGAAGAAAATAAAAGACAGATTCAGCGAGGAAAATTTTCTTTATCGACGAAATCGTCTTCAGAGACTGTATAGTCGTATTTATACTTACAAAAATATATAGTGGTCTATTATTGAGTAATAAGGGGTGACATAATTGATATGATTACTCAGAAGTTTCTTTAGAAGTGAAAATTAAAAGTTGTAAATTACGTGGTACTCAATGGCACAAAGATAGAAATTTGGTATGGTTAAAATTGCTATTGAGTGAGAATAAAGCTTTTTAGTGTCAATTTAACAAATGTGAGGAGGGTGTGAAATGTACGGATGGAGCGTATGAGAGTGATAATAGTGAATTAATTATCAGTTATACAATTTTCCATTAGCATTTCGTTATGACTATCAATTCAGTCCTACAAAGGCTTGACTGTAAAGCAGTTATTCGCAAGGTGAGGTATGCTTCAGTTTATTTTTCTAGCTCATTATCAGTGTCAGATAAAAATAACTGACTTGTAGTTAGCACTTTTGGTTCAAAGATTTTCTGTGTAGTAAATTATAACTCCAGATTTCATTCCAAAATTCCAACTGCGCACAACTTGTTCTACATTTATTAATCCAGATAGCATGGTTACACTGGCAAATACAAACAACGTAGGATCTGTCACAATTGCCAGACTTTACAGTAGTATATCTTGATAAAGTCATTGGTTTAAAAGGAAACTAGTAAGCAAATCGACAATCAGAAGAATGCTAGAGTAAAGTGAAAAAGACCGATGAAGCTCGAAGGCGTGTTTATTGGGACAAAGCATTGTAGGTACATAAATTTGGTATAACTTATCTTCAATACTTTATCTGTACATCATTTGAGAATTGGTCGAATATTACCACATTCGATAGCTTGTTGGATTGTCTACAGTGTTTGTGTCGTTCTTCTGACCGTTCTCTTCTTCGAATGGGTTTTTCTAGTATCCAAAACATATTGTTACTTTTCTGAATTCGTTTACTGATATACTACCTATATCTGACTATAAGTAACACCACACTGGTACAAAGGGAAAGCTCATTGTTTTATTGGAGATGTTCTGTTGAAGTGGTGGTGTGAATGATTCTCAGTTGCATTTCATACAATATTCAAGCCTTTATTTGGGATTTGTAGAATATCTGTCTGTCTGTCTGTTTTCGACATAGAACTTTGCACAAATGTGCGGAAGTTCAAGTCTCCACATTCCGTGTAGCACGCGAAGCAAGAGAAGAAAGTACAAGAAAAGCATAATAGAAACAGTGAGCAGAGGTGTGAGACAAAGGAGTAATAAAGAAATACAAAACAGTTTCATTGAAGATCATAAGTCACAGTGAGTGGATGCATCTGCGCCACTGAGAACGGTTTTGAGCCATGTCACCAATTGTTTCCAACCATAGATTTTTACCGTCCCGAGGACCCCAAACAGGAAGTCTACACCTTTCTACGTGGCTTAGACCAACTGTTGTGGATTTCATTGACTGATGCCAAGTTTTTGTTTGAATGCCGCTAGCTTTTTTCCAGTCTGACCCTATATCTGCTAACATTGCTCTTGTGTCGAGGGAGGCTATGGCTTGGCATACGTAACACATGTCCTTACCATCTCAGTCTTTGTAACTTCACGACTTCGTCGATTGATTTCCCCTGTTTACCTAGAACTCTACGCCTAACCAATTCTCAAATGATGTACAGATAAAGCATTGGAGATAAGGTATATCAAATTTATGTATCTACAATAAGTTTGTCCCATTGAACACGCCTTCGAGTTTCATCGGTCCTTTTTTCTTTACGCGATTTCCTTTAGTCCTCCCTCCATTCCTTTGTTGAATTAAATAAGAATTATAACTGTATGGACTTTTGTATGTAAATTGCAATTGTACAACTTTTGAGAATGAAATTGCAGTAAAGATATCTTCGTTGAACTTGATTTTTTTCTCTATTAACATTATGGATATTTCCCACGATTGTCTCTGTCGCAAAACAATCATCCACCGCTAAAATCTACATACCTAACTTATCAGTTATTCACCAAAAATATCCATTGAGTCATGAAGAAAATAAAAGACAGATTCAGCGAGGAAAATTTTCTTTATCGACGAAATCGTCTTCAGAGACTGTATAGTCGTATTTATACTTACAAAAATATATAGTGGTCTATTATTGAGTAATAAGGGGTGACATAATTGATATGATTACTCAGAAGTTTCTTTAGAAGTGAAAATTAAAAGTTGTAAATTACGTGGTACTCAATGGCACAAAGATAGAAATTTGGTATGGTTAAAATTGCTATTGAGTGAGAATAAAGCTTTTTAGTGTCAATTTAACAAATGTGAGGAGGGTGTGAAATGTACGGATGGAGCGTATGAGAGTGATAATAGTGAATTAATTATCAGTTATACAATTTTCCATTAGCATTTCGTTATGACTATCAATTCAGTCCTACAAAGGCTTGACTGTAAAGCAGTTATTCGCAAGGTGAGGTATGCTTCAGTTTATTTTTCTAGCTCATTATCAGTGTCAGATAAAAATAACTGACTTGTAGTTAGCACTTTTGGTTCAAAGATTTTCTGTGTAGTAAATTATAACTCCAGATTTCATTCCAAAATTCCAACTGCGCACAACTTGTTCTACATTTATTAATCCAGATAGCATGGTTACACTGGCAAATACAAACAACGTAGGATCTGTCACAATTGCCAGACTTTACAGTAGTATATCTTGATAAAGTCATTGGTTTAAAAGGAAACTAGTAAGCAAATCGACAATCAGAAGAATGCTAGAGTAAAGTGAAAAAGACCGATGAAGCTCGAAGGCGTGTTTATTGGGACAAAGCATTGTAGGTACATAAATTTGGTATAACTTATCTTCAATACTTTATCTGTACATCATTTGAGAATTGGTCGAATATTACCACATTCGATAGCTTGTTGGATTGTCTACAGTGTTTGTGTCGTTCTTCTGACCGTTCTCTTCTTCGAATGGGTTTTTCTAGTATCCAAAACATATTGTTACTTTTCTGAATTCGTTTACTGATATACTACCTATATCTGATTATAAGTAACACCACACTGGTACAAAGGGAAAGCTCATTGTTTTATTGGAGATGTTCTGTTGAAGTGGTGGTGTGAATGATTCTCAGTTGCATTTCATACAATATTCAAGCCTTTATTTGGGATTTGTAGAATATCAGTGTAAATAGCAACCGAGTATGTATAACTCAGCTTTTTTCATCTTCAAGAAGTTCATTTATTCTATACTGGTACATAACAGGTTAACTTAGACAGTTACATTGTTTTGTATATTTCTAAGTATAAAAATTGGCATAAATTTACTCTTTTTTCTTCTTGTTTCCATCCTTATCAGTTAATAACTATTCTGTGGACGTCATACTGTTGGATTGCCATCATTTTTTGAAGGCTTTCCCACCTTCATTCTGGGGTTCGCCAAAATCAGATGTTCCTTTGCGAACTATAAAGACATTATTACATGTCTTATGTCGTCTACAAGGTCCGTCAATCCTAACGTTTTTAGAAGATATTCCTAATAAGGTAGGTATTTTTAATTGTCCTTTATGAAGTTTAAGTATTGCAATTAATTGATCTTTACTTATAATCAATCATCTAAGAACATTTCTTGGAAGTGGTATTTAAAAAGTTTCTGTTTCCACTTAGTCTAATAGTGTCTATCGTGAGTAATAATCAGTGGAATAGAATGAGTGCTACTCTTTGGTTTAGTGTTCCTCCAGAGGTGTATATCCCTTTATGAAGTATGCCTTTTCTATCAAAAAAGTGGTCATTAGTGTATATCACAAAGTAGTCATTTGATTTATAAAGATCATTCTTAAAATAAAATACATTTGAGTGTAATTTTCATTTATTTTTTAAAAGGTATACTAAGCGAATTACTCTTTTGAAGCTTATAGTGCAGATGTACAGTTTAAAATTCACTGATCTCTTAACATAGTAGTTGTGTGAAATTTGAAATTGAATTTCGATAACAAATCATTTTCATAAATGCATGTAATCGAAATGTTTATTCATTTTGCAGCTGAACTACAACTGACATGCGTAACACTGTCATAGCTTCCTCATTCGGTTGACCTTACTCTTCCTTCTAAATACTCCTAGTTAAAATCAATACTTTCTTTACCATATCGTATACACAAATAATTTATCAAAAGTTCATGTGATCATAAATTCATAGTATTCCCAATCTTCTATATTCAACGGGTATGTCTCACAAAACAGCCTGCTGCAGAGTACTCATGCCTTTTCATGGACACGTGGATGTCACACTATATATGATATGTAGGTTGGCAAGTACCAAACGAGCCTCCTTATCCTCCCTGAGATTCTGTTAGTAATCAGTCCCTTTGGCCCAATGCAACTCTTCAAATAAGTAGATAAACATATTCAGTCATATCACTACTTATCCTTAAATTAGGCTCCGCTCTTACGCAATTGTATGAATTGGAGAAAGAACATACATTGGCGTAGAATAACATAAAACTATTTTATTTCTACGAGTTGGTCACGGATTGAATACAGTTAGAGAACCATTGAAAACCAGGGAGTCCTAGACAGCTGTTTCATCCTAGTTCGGGAATCATCGGCAGTACGCACCCACTGGGGTTCGAACCCCAGGACCTTCTGGTCCCAAGGCAAGCTCTTATATCATTCAGCCACTGTGACCTGATCCAATGGCTCATGAATTCAAACTTCTACCAATTTGTGATTCAGCTCGATCCCATCCATAGCGTCGGTAGGACATCCATCCTCACACGTGACATCTGCCGTCTCAGATTCATAAGCTGTTTCAATCAATGAACTTTTTCATATTAGTTTGTTCATGCGATATTAGGATGCTGTGAAACAGCCCTATTTATTGAATGACGTTTAGAACTCTATTTATTCTTCACGATCATATTTCAACGTGAAATGTTTAATGAGTGTTATGGTTATTATAATTGATACTGAATTTATGTATCAGCTATGTCTGTCTGTCTGTTTTCGACATAGAACTTTGCACAAATGTGTGGAAGTTCAAGTCGCTACACACTCCGTGTAGCACGCGAAGCAAGAGAAGAAAGTATAAGAAAAGCATAATAGAAACTGTGAGCAGAGGTGTGGGATAAAGGAGTAATAACGAAGAGCAAAACAGTTACATTGGAGATCATAAGTCACAAGGAGTGGATGCATCTGCGCCACTGAGAACGGTTTTGAGCCATGTCACCAATTGTTTCCAACCATAGATTTTTACCGTTCCGAGGACCCCAAACAGGAAGTCTACACCTTTCTACGTGGCTTAGACCAACTGTTGTGGATTTCATTGACTGATGCCAAGTTTTTGTTTGAATGCCGCTAGCTTTTTTCCAGTCTGACCCTATATCCGCTAACATTGCTCTTGTGTCGAGGGAGGCTATGGCTTGGCATACGTAACACATGTCCTAACCAGCTATGACAGCCTTCTATAGCCTTTAAACATATTGACAGGTATTTTGGTTATCGTGCATTGCAACATTATGTTCTAGTGCACTGAGTTTTGATACCAACATAAAACATAGTAAAGGATTAAGCATATGTAGGAGTGTAACAACAGGAAGACAAGGGCTAGGCAACAGATCGTTTATTAAGGAAATTAACACATTAATAGATTTTCATGTACATTAATATAAATTATTATAAGCAAAGAAACACAGTCTTCTGATTGGTTGTTTCTCACTGAAAGTTATTCTTTCATCTCTTTGTGGCCGTTTATTGAAGTTCAGATTATCTATCTGCAAATTGTATCCGCCTACGCAAAGTCTGCTGTGATTCGTTGTTGAGTCAGTCTTTGTTCTTGTTTTCACATAACCAATATTTGCTACATAAACATTGACGTAAATTACTGTCTACTAATTTGGCTAGCAGCCAGAGAGTAGTCCGTTGAAATGGTTTTATCCATCTTTGTAAATCATGCATATAATAAGTAAAACGGTCTGATCCACTATGTCTTTCTTTTGTTTGTTTAATTTATTTCACCGTTTTATGCAGTCTCTTCAAAAAAATCTCATTAAACGGTTTTTTGTTTCTTAATATTATTATGATTATTACTAATAGGAGGATTCAGATTTGGAGCCTTACTTAATTCGAACATTAAAAAATACCTCAGGGATTCAAACTACACCGTCCAATGTAAAGAAGTCACTGAATTCTGATGAAAACCCTCCTAAAGTAAGCTTTAACATAACACTTTGTTTGAATATCTTACATAACTACTCTGGGAGATATGAAAGATGGTGGTACTATGCACTTGTCCCTTTATGTTAATGTCTATGCATGCAACACTGAATGGTATCAAATTTTATTGCATTTGCAAACATACTTGCGTAATATTATTATAGTTGCAATGATAATAAACACTACGCTGATAGCGCATAGCTTCTAATCACCTTTCACAATGGATGCATAGTTTTTTTTTTTAATTTTATCCCATGAAATCTATAATCAAGCAGAAGTCAAGATAGACAGTTCATTAGTTTTTAAGCTACTGTTTATTTGATAAGTAATACAAACCACTTTTAACTTTTAAACTTACAATGTTGTTCATGCGGTTAGATAGTTTTACTGGTCCTCACAAATGGTGTGTGTACATGTGTAATTAGTGTTATTACTATTGTTTATTTTCATGTGTATATATGTACTACATTTTAGCCTTTAGATTTATGGTAAGCCACATGTTCTCTTGATCCATTTATGATACACTAAGTCAACGAAATTGAATAGAAAACAAAAGACCTTTCGTTTTTATTATTTCCCAATTATGAGCTCTAATATCTTTAAAGTACAGTTTTGTCTTGTACTTTAGGGGAATTTTAATAGTTCATTTTTTAATAGTAAAGATGACTTTCTGCAAAAATATGATGACTTGTACACTTGAGTAATGTGACAAAAATTTGGCGAAGTTTTAACACCCCTCCAAATGAAGTTTTGGCAGTCGGTATTTTTACCACATAATTAGTCTCTAGTTAGTACTGTGTGCAGATTTTCAATACTAATGTCGAGTCAGTCAGTGCTTCTCTATATGGTTCTGAGACTTGGCACATCACTAGAAGCATTTCCAACAGACATTTATCAGTAGCTGTCTTCGCTCCATACTAAAGATCAGATGGTTCGTCAGAAAGGATTAGCAACTAGGAGGTATGACAACAAACCAACCAAAAACCTATTGCCCAGCACATTTGCAGAAGGGAATAGAGGTGGATTAGAGGAGGCCGTTGTGTGACACTAGAGGCCCTCGACTGAAACTCGGATAGGAAGCGACGAGTTGAGCTTGGGTCTGAGGGTGACACTGAAATGATTGTATGAAGAGAAGGTGGGGACTTATGGATAGTAGCAGAGTCAAGCAAAGAGGACTTCAAAGAACCGAGTGAAATTGCAATGTGCTATTGTAGCCCTATGCTCTACCTGGAACTCTAAGAAATCATAGTTACTGTAGCAATCTACTTAGCCTGACATAGGATAAGGTTAGAAAGGAGTTAAATAGTGGTCAGACGACATCTTACCAATATATAAAGTCTGACCGTTCGTTTGAGTCATGTTAACAGCTGTAGAGATGAGACGACAGCAACCAAATGTTGGGCACTGTTACATACATGACTTAGAAATGCATTCAGTAACACAGTTGTTTTCACTCCTTGTGGTCTTCCAAATTCTTTTTCTTCATTTAGTCATTCTTTTTACTGCATATTTTAGTTTATTGTGGTTTCTTTATTTCTTTTATCAACTCTCATGTGTGTTATGAACTCGTGCCAAAGTGTTGCGATGTTTAGGAATAAAATTGAGATTGGAATAGGATAGGAACGCCGATGCTAATCATGTATACCGCCTGACCTCACCAACAACATTATACGACAGTTACCCGTTTCCCCAGTTCGCTCTACTTAAACCAGAACACAACGACGTGGGGTGGGAAATATATTTGACAGAGTCCGTATATATATCACATCTGACTACATATTAGTGTGGTAGTTTGAACTGCTGTACTTTTGTGCGAAGTTCTACTCTGAAAGTTCATTTTACTATAGTTTTTAATCTATGATGAGCCTAAATTTTTTTCATCTTGGAAGCTGGTATTAATTATAGTACCGGCTAAGTTGATACCTATTACTTATATCTTCAAATAAGCAGTAGTTCTCCTTACTGCACGGCAATAAGTATCAAATTGTTCCTCCTTAAGTCTAGTTTGATATTCAATGCTTAAAGTCTCTTGACGGATAACAGCTACTACCTTGACATGGCGATCTGGCTTGCTTATCGCAATAAACCAACGAACTACATTGACTTGAACTAGTGTTCCTGTAGGTCCTATCATACCAGAAAGGCTGCTTGGATAGCGATTAGACTAAAAGCATTCACCAGCATAGTGAATGTAGTGTATGCAAGTTTACACTAGGTTTGGATGGAGTTCTGCGGGTGAAGTTGTACTGTTAGCCGACAGTGATGTAACAACGGCAAGCCATCGCCTCCCTCGACGAGCAATGTTAGCGGATATAGGGTCAGGCTGGAAAAAAGCTAGCGGCGGTCAAACAAAAACTTGGCATCAGTCAATGAAATCCACAACAGTTGGTCTTAGCCACGTAGGAAGGTGTAGACTTCCAGGCTGGGGTCCTCGGGACGGCAAAAATCTATGGTTGGAAACAATTGGTGACATGGCTCAAAATCGTTCTCAGTGGCGCAGATGCATCCACTCCCTGTGACTTATGATCTCCAATGAAACTGTTTTGTATTTCTTTATTACTCCTTTGTCTCACACCTCTGCTCACTGTTTCTATTTGCTTTTCTTGTACTTTCTTCTCTTGCTTCGCGTGCTACACGGAATGTGGCGACTTGAACTTCCGCACATTTGTGCAAAGTTCTATGTCGAAAACAGACAGACAGACAGATGTAACAACGGTAAGGTGTTTCCCACAAATGACAACCAAGCTCTGTAGAGGGTGGTTAGAAAAGGTCAACCCAAAAAATTGTAAATTGCGTCTTACCTAGCGGCGATCCGTAACCGTTAGTACGATATTAATTGGAAACGAAACTTTGAAAAGCACTTGAAATGGGCTGTGTGCTACCGGCGTCAAATAGTTGTCCCATGGGATCTGCAGTCACGCAATACTATTTCTTTGGTTTCATGTGTCCCAGTTTATTTCACTGTTACCTTATCTTCTGTATTAAGTTTGACTAACAAGTATGCATGTCGTCTTTAAATAGAAATCTGATTTTAAGTCAGTTTGTGATGACTAAGCTTATGGTGTCACTTGAAATTCTTAACAATAAAAGTATCTGATGTTTATCTGTAACTTTTAAATTGATTTTATCATCACTTCTAAAATCCGTTTTTTAGGCATTTGTACTTTCTGTTGGTACTCGTGAGAAATTAACTGAAATATTTAATAAAATTGGATCTAAAAGAGCTGATGAAGTAAGTGTTTTGTTAAAACAGCTTTTCTTATACATATTATATTCATGTGTACAATTCCATTAGTGTAAATCTCATATAAACAATGATGTGATATTCTTAGATATGCATATTACTCACATTTGTTTACGCTTATAAATAGAATTTCTTCCACTCACATTTATTTTGAATTGAATCTTGTGAGTAACACTTAATAATATCATAAAATTATTCTTAAGTAATCCCGGTATGTTAAAAAAAATCAAGGCGGAATTTTCCTCAACGTTTTTCTGTGCAAACCGCAGCTTCGTCAGCAAAATTACTTGGGTTTTAATAAATATTAAAGTATATATTCAAATGATATAAAAAATAAAATGAACTTGTCGGAAGATTACTTTTAGGGTAAAATTTCCACTAATTTGTACCCTGTCTCTCAGTTATGTGTCGTCTATATCTCTTTGTTTGCTGGAATTACGCTTACAATTCACGACAGTAATTATCTTTGATAAAGAGGCATTGAGTCAATGGCTCTGTGTATTTTCTTACAAATGTTTTACAATTAAGATATATATGGGGAACCAACCCCAACATATGTCGATTCTCTAGTCATTCACTAGTGAAGAATCCCTGTCGTGTACTCCCAGGTTTTCCGATGGTTCTCTAACCGATGTCAGCTCACGATGAAATCCTCCAACCAATCAAACAATATCCCTGCAAACTAATACTTGAAAATTCTTATTTGTCGGAACATGTATCTGGTTCTCATTATAATACGCCATTAAGGGCTGGAATTCAATATTCCATAGAAAGAACTGTGAGGTCATTTCTGCAAAATTAAAAAAGAAACGCCTGACGAATCTATGTATTCTTCTCTGGGTTAATAAACCATCAATAAGCCATTTAGATCCCTCTAAGAACAATAAACTATAGAATAATAGATTAATCGACAATTCGATAGTAGTAGGGAACTTTAGTGAGAAATAAAACTCATCATCTTAGAATAGTATTTGTTAGTTATTTCTGATTTTCTATTAAAGTGTATTTGCTTGTATTGTAACGAGATTGTCTAGCTGGACAGGTATAACGTCGGTACATAGTGCATTAATTGCTGAATACTTACTTGTACATCGGTAAAAATCGTTGTACTGCATCTGCCTACCTTAACGTTAAAACATTAACTGGAGCAACAAAATAGAAAAATATCTTCAATTTCCCAGTGTGAGTAACTTTCCTTTAATATTTTAGTCTATATCATATATAAGTCAGAAGGCAGTAAGTAGAAATCCCTTACAACTGCTTGTTGTGTATTTCATTGTATGAAATATTGATCCATTATGAGTAAAATTTGTTTTGATAGTCTCACAGTGTTATACAGTAATGTTTACTGTGCGACTTTATTAAAAACAAATTTTACCCATAATGGAATTACACTCTACCAGTGTACAAGTTTTATTCTTATATCAATGAAATATTGATCCGTTTGTGAATAAGCACTCAATTCAACTTCAAATATCGACGTGACCCTCGTTCAAGTAAATTCGATCTTCTTTTTTGCCATGATTGATCATATGCTGATAAATGGGGTTTGTGTCACAGGACTTAAAATGCGTGGGCATCGCGTACTTTGCTTTGAAATATTTATGAGCTTTTGATCAATGTTTACTCACCTCTCTATTTTATAACGAATATTACTCTGTGTGTATATTTCTTTGAAGAAATGCACTGTACAACAAATTGCACTAATTAATTAATCACTTGATGTTGTTTGAGTATCTTTTTTTAAAGTTATCTTTATAGTTCATATGTTTAATGTATTTATTGCCGATCTTATATTTAACAGGGATTGAATGAATTATATGATTTTACTCAACTCTACCCAGACATTGATTTATCTTCATATCTAACAAACACAAGCCAGTTTTATCAAGCGTATATAAAACAAGCTTTGAAAAATATAGCTGTTGAACGTACACGTCAAGCTCGAACAGCGTCGGAAGACAAAGAAGCAAATAAATTGGCACCTCATCAGGTGAGTAGAAACTGTTACTTGAAAAAAATGATTAATATAATTGACTTGGAACAAATTTCACTTATTCCAGGTCATACCAATTGTGTGAGAGCTATTTGTGTTATGTACTCGTAGAGTAGTTAATAGTCCTGACGCGGAAAGAGGGAAATCAGAAGACCACCAGGTTTACGATGATACTTGTACTTTCCAGACGAGGAAAATAAATGTCACACAAGAGTGTGAGTGAAATGGTACTAGTGTACGAAACGTGGGAACAAGAAGGTATGAACAAGTGTCTAATACAAAAGTATATATAAAAGTGGCTAATACACATGAACCAATAAACAGACGGTCTTAGCATGATTGGTTGTAATGTTATATGACAACAAGGTCATACATTGTTTATTTAAATAATGGACAGACAAAAGCATAATGTCAGTTATAATGGAATGTCGATCTATATACACATAGCAAATATAATAGACTGTCAAAAACAAAACACACATCATGTGGGTACATATCAATTTGATACTATTCAAATTGCCCAGGTTGAAGTCGGTGGACCAAGATATACACTCGGCACTCATATCTTGGAAGCCAATGAGCTCTATTCCGACAGTTGCTTTAATAATAGTGGACTTCTCACCACACGTCGTCCGTTTTCACGGTGGTAGTCAAAAATAACTTTTCTATAAAGAATTACTTCCAAAACGTCTTTTTAGTTTTAAACAACATGAAAGCTGACTGTTGTTAATGTCATTTTTATTACAAGTAAAACGACCGCGTGAGGATTTACTTTACTGCCATCTACCATCATTAGTAAATCATCGGTTAGCCTCAATGTGCAGCTTTTTAAATTGAGATTGTAATAACTTTGCATGATGCTTATCGGTAGACTTGGTATTTATTTTATGAAACTGACGATCAGAGTAGTATATTCTGTTTCTTGACTAAGTTTTATTGCCAGACAAATATCAACTCTACTTTTCGGTAACATTCTTGAATGAATGGTAATGAAATCTGAAAGACTGACAGCATTGTCTTATAGGTGGTGGTCTCACAGTATACCTAAAAAAGTTGGGAGAGGATACCAATTTCCTGAATTTTGAGTCTTGTCTAATGTATTATCCCGCAAAATTCTAAATTCTCTAGAACCCCTCATTGAGAAGTTCATTATGAGCTCACTCCACTAATCCTTCACCTCGTAACTCCATATTATGACATCATTTTCCTACATCTTCTGGTTATTGACGTAGCTAGCGAATAGTAAATATAATGCAAAACACTAAGACAGAATGGATCACACTAGCATTATCCAGTGTTCAATTGTAAGGTTTGTTAAAGGATTTACAGTGCTTGAAGTTATATTAATGCATTACTACAGTTACATCTATCATAATTTCACCCATTATTTGACTAATTATTCATTTAATTTCATAATAGCCAAATGGCATTTCAATACGTCCTAACTGGAATGAAGATTTAAGCACAGATATAACTGATGAACAGCCTACTAATCCTAAAGTTTTTATGAATCGACTTGCAATGTTGCGAAGGGAACTAGGTCTTGGTGGCATATCAACAACAAACGTTGATGACAATATTGGTGCAGCCGATGAAACAGAAATACAAGGCACAGTATTAGAGACAACACTCAGGGTAAGTGTATCCTTTGTTTATATGAATATAAATTGTATCCGCATGAAAATATACTTCCGTGAAGCAGGTAAAATACTATTCATAAAAATACTATTTATAAAAAAAGAACTAATTGCATGAAGATTTGTTTAGACTGATGTAACCTTGAGTATTCGTTCACAATAAAATTATGTATTTTTGGATTGGATATGCGTGCATCTAGCCTGCACTATCATTTCACCTCTTTGCTGATACATTGCAATCTCTTGTGAAAAGTGAATACTTAATTTAAACACAAAGTAACAAATAGTGTCAATTAGTGAGAGTAGGCATATGATATCAAATCTCAAATTTGGTTGCTTTGTATTGCAGTTTTACTATAAATCCGTGCTGCATATATAATCTTTTACAATGACAATATATCCTGTTTATCATGAGTTAGAATAGGTGAAGACGATATTATAGGACAGATGGTTTATGCTGCGTTTCACTACATAACTTTGATTCTGAAAGTGTGCAAAACTCACTAACTGACTACAGCGCCAATTACGCATTACAGTGATAATACTAATATTTTATTCGCGCAACGTTGTATTTGCTTTTTTGCCAATTTGTTTGGTCAGGCACTATGACGAAGTAAGTAAGAAGTCAGTGACAATATATAGTTATATTGTAAAAAAAAAAAATAGTTCCACAAGGTTTTTTGGATGTCAAGCTTCCCGCAGTTGTTTATATGTGTTCTCGCTTGGTCTTCCTGTTCTATTGCTTCGATAACCTAGTGGCTGGGATTATATATTTGCTTCTAGATGATTTTGAAAATCGATAAAACCTTTTCTCACAGATGTAGAGTTGTCTTATTATTATTAATCCTTTTAATTCCTAGAGGAGCATAGGGCTCCAGCCGCGCGTCTCCATTGCGTTCGGTTCTCTGCTAGAGTTTTCACCTGGCTCCAAGTCTGCCCCTATGCTTTCATCTCCTCTTCACGTGACCTCCTCCATATCAACCTCACACTGACTACCAACTCGCCGCTTCCCTTTCGGGTCCCACTCGAGCAATGGATTGTCTAGTGATGTCACTTGATAGTTTCTTCAAAATATGGCCAATCCACCTCCATTTCTTCCTGCCTATTTGTTGCACGATCGGTTCCTGGTTGGTTCGCTCATTGCCAGAGATCCCTCATTATTGGTGATCTTTTCTGGCCGGCCATCTGATCTTGAGTATTGAGCGAAGACAACTGTTAATGAAGGTCTGTAGTTTGTTTGAGGTGCTCTTTATGACAAGCCGGCCAAGTCTCTGATCCGTATGGTAGCACTGACTTCACATTGGAGTTGGAAATCCGGAACTTATTTTTGATGGTGAGTGCTGTTGACCTCCACACAGACTTAAGAGTAATGAAAGCTTGTCTTGCTTTTCCGATTCCGGCTTTGATATCCTCGTCACTTCCGCCTGTAGTTGAAACGATACTTCCCAGGTAGGTAAAAGAGGTTGTTTCTTTCAGGTTCCTCCCATTGATGCGGGCTGATTGTTGACTGTTGTTTTTGCTTCTGCTGTTAACCAGGAATCTTCATCACCTCTGTTTTCTCTATGTTCACCTGAAGTCCTATCTTCGCTGGATGCTTCTTCTGCCAACTTGTTACTTTTCACTTGCATATCTTCCAGTTTGTGGGAAATCAGACGTATATATCAAAACAGCGAAGTCCAGATCCTCCAAGTTTTTGTATGAGTCCATTTTATGCCTGTTTCCTCATTGCCCGTTGTCTGTCGCATTATCCAGTCTACTGCAATCAGGAAAATCATTGGCAATAGTAGGCCGCCTTGTCTTACTCCCGTCTTCACTTCGAAGGCTTCCGTAAGTTTCCCGTTATGGATTACTTGGCATGCAGCACTGTCATATAACTGTTGGATGAGATGTATGATTATCGATGGAACCCCGTAGTAGCGGAGTAGTTGCCAAATCACCTCTCGATCGACACTGCGCTATCGAAGGCCTTTTCAAAGTCGATGAAGTTGAGATAGAGAGGTGACTGCCATTTCAAGCTTTGTTCAATGATGATCCGTAGTGTGGCGATTTGATCAATACATGACTTTTTTCTCCTGAATCCAGCTTGTTCCGATCGAAGTTTTTCATCCAGGTTGGCTTGTTTGATTCTCTTCAGGGTGATGCGGCTTAGTATTTTGCCTTGGATAGACAGGAGAATAATTCCGCGTCAGTTTTTGCATTGATTTAAGTCTTCTTTCTTTGGTAGTTTGAATAAGTATCCTTTCTTCCAATCCTCGGGTACTTTGCCCTCTTCCCATACATTCTCTAGTAGTGGTGTCATCATGAGCACTGTTGCCTCTGAGTCCATTTTCAATGCTTCTGCTAGGATTCTATCTGGTCCTGCTGCTTTTCCAGCTTTTAGCATCTTGATTGCATTCAGGACTTCTGATTTCGTCGGGGGGTCGATGTTCACTGGTAGTTCTGCTTCCGTTGTTGGTATTGTTGGGCGCGTTGTAGGTGGCAGTCGATTTAGTAGTCTTTTGAAGTGTTCAGCCCAGTGTTTTCTTTGCTCCACCTCTTTGGTGATTGACTCTCCATTATCATCCTTGACTGACTCAATCTGTGTCGAACCTTTGCCCGAAAGGTACCTAATTGTTTGGTAGAGTGTGGCGGGGTCTGTTTTGCCTGCAACTTGTTCTGCTTCACTTGACATGGCTTCGTAATATTTTCTTTTGTCTTCCCTGGCACTCTTTTGTTCAGTGTATTGTAGCTTGCATTCAACTCCTGTTTTTGTTGCTCGTCGGTGCACTGGATAATCTTTTGTTTCACCATCCTTCCCTCTCGTATTAGTCTCCAAGTGTCCGTAGTGAGCCACTGTTTGTCCTGTCTGTTCTTTCTGCCTAGAACTTCCATGCAGGTTTGACTCCACACCGCTTTCAGGTTGTCCCAGTGCTTGGAATTGTCTTTCTAACAGGTCATAATTTATAAGTAGTACTGTTTGCTTTGCCCTACGAAATAGCTTTGGAATCACTTGGTAAATTCAAAATCTGGAAGAACTGGACGGCTATTTCGTCCTAATTTGAGACTCCAACAGCACGCATCCACCGGGGTTCAAACGCAGAACCCTCTGACTACAAGCGAGCTGAAGGCGTAGTGATGAAGAGTTCAAACTAGGACGAAACGACTGACCAGTACTCCCAGGTTTTCCAGTGGTTCTCTAACTGATGTCAGCTCATAACGAAATCCTCCAACCAATAAAACAAATCCATACAAACACCAATACTTAAAAATACAAAATCTACTGATATTTAGGTATAACTTATTATTTCGTACTATTTACTAACTTTTTCCTCTTTCAGAATATGATAAAACCAAAAGGTGATCAGTACTCTGATTCTCCAGACGAAAATATTCAACCAGCCCCTGATCACAGAATAACTATGTCTGCAAACGAACTAATGGATCTTAAGCGTCGTTTGGACCGAATCAAAAGTGCCCAAAAACACTAATCATTGTTTCAATTTACATGCAGTCTTCCACTAATTAGGTGTTCTTTGATTTGAACTTTTATGTAAATATTTCTCAGACATTGTTTACAAGATTTTACAGTGCACGTATGTACCGCTAAAATATAAGGATATACCTATATAATCTCCCTAATACATGTTTATACTTATAACTATTTCACACTTCTTTTAATCTGTTCACTAAAAATCATATACGTCACTATATAACAGTTTATTAGAGAAAATCAATTGAATATTACGAATGTTTTAAATTAACAATATAGTGAGTGAAAGTTCCTTCAATAAATCACAAAGACAGCTGTGTTCAACAAGATTTAATTGCTTGTTTCACTGTTATGTTTGTGATACTCTTGCATGAATTCATCTAATCTATCGACTATTACTCCTGTCAAACCGAGTTGTGATGCTTTCCTGAAAAATTCCATCTCTGATACACCATCACCATAAACAAAGCACGATAGTTGTTTACTGTTCAAAAAAGCTGTTAAGGATTTCGATGGTATTTTATCAACACAGTTTGTAGAATCAAAATGTTGTCCAACTGTAACAATTCCACTTAAATTCATTATAACTGCCCAATTCATAGCAGAGAATATATTATGATGTCGAGGATCTTTCCTGTGACTATTATCGCATGGAATTTCACCGCGTGAAATGAACAGTACTGGTAGAAAAGATTGCTTTAGTCGCAAGGCCAAGCATATATCTGGATTGAAAGAAGATAGAATAACGTATCTGCGTCCAGCATTTAACCAAATTGTCTGTAAAGAAAATTTTCAACAAGGAATTACTGATTTTCTACTGCTGGTAAAAATAGGTTAGCAAAAGACATTAGGCAATTTCCAATTTTTATGAGAGGATACAACAATGCAATAAAAGCCGTTAATTATAGTTTAACAAATGGTTTAGCTCTGTCTCTCATTCAGAGGATGTTAAAATCAATAAGTACGTGACAATCCTTCTGATTAACTTAGATCTCAGTGATTCTTAAGATGAATAATACTATCCAACGATAAGTACTACGTTTCTAGGCTTTACTGGATTATTTATGAACCACTATTCACGATGTTAATGTAGGCGAATTTCTTGTTTGCTTACTGAAACCAAAGCAGATTCATGTGTTATTGAATTAGATTGACTGTCATATCACAATTAAATATTTATTAACTGACCGACTTTCAGTGTAGAACTCTTCACAGAAGTGCAGCGGCTTCTTGTTGCCACACTCTATGTAGTGTAATACATTTTCATCGGAACGACATTCAGTTATTAATGCTGCTGTTACATCAAATAAACTTGTCTTCTATGGAATTTTATTTTGCCGCCCCGCAGTATCTCAAGATTCAATTTGAACTGCATCTTAACTTTATGATATATTTTGCATGAGGTTAACACTACAAAATTATGTACAGTGTTTACAGCTATTGAAATGAATAGGTTGTTTTTACCACGATTTCCACTTGCATGTGTAGCATTAGGCGCAATATTAAGATTTTATAAAGTCCACTCTAAATAATAGTCAGTATTATTGGAATATACGGCAAACTATTGTCAATGCAATACTTACGTCCAATATTTTGTCGCAGAATCTATTTATTTTAGAAAAATATGTGTACGGCGTTGGTAAAGAAGAATTTATCGATTTGTTTTTGTTACATTCTTCAATAATAATACTCAATGGAGTCTCCGGTGGATATTTTATCTCTACATTGAAGCCGAGATTTGGAGAAGTTTGCCGAAATGCATCTTTTAATAGCGGGACTGGTGCAGCTTCAAGGCCATGAATATTTGGTGTAGGATCGTTACCAGTTAGAGGTTCAGCATATTTATTCTCTTTAGCAGTGTCGAGGTTTGTTGGTCTATCAATCTTGCTTAACAGTTCACGAATTTCGGATAAAGAATAATTTACGATCAAATCTGTACTGTTTTCGTTCACCACACCATCAGCTTTAAAGAAATACAAAATTATAAACAAATTACGTTAGATACTATTCATAGTGGAAAATACACACCATTGTAAAATAATAAAATGCTTGGATAAGGAAGAACACGCACACCCGACTAATGTGTAGGAATTGCGTGGTTTTGCAATATGATTGGGAATATATCGCGAAACAGTGTCCTTGAATGTAGAAATATACTCCGTATTAGAAGTCTGTGTAAGGTTTTGTTAAATGGATTTCTTATAAACGGCTGATTATTTTTTATTTAGCTGTTAGAAACAGGTGACCGATTGATCTCACTTGTACAGTAAGCTTAGTTTACAATTGATTGTAAAAGATTGAAAGTACAATATAGAGAGACAGAGAGCTTATAGCCTAGTTAACGCCAACACACATAACTGGACAGTTTTAAGTTAAAAAAGAAGAATGATTCCTTATGAAAACCCATCATCAGGCATCACAGAGACAAGAAAAAGTTCCTTAATTGATTAAGATTATAAGCTTGTAGTACTTGCGAACAACAATAACATATCTAAACTGCTGCCGATAACAACAACAACGCTTTGAACAATTGAAGTGAAAAACAATGTGGAGAAACTTTAAGAGTATGTCAAGATTTCAGCCGGATAAGATGATTCTATCTGTCAGGCGAAATTTACTGTGAATTTAAATGTTCAACTGCCAATGTATTTTGCTATAAGTTCACATTATGATAGGATACTCATTTTGGAAACAACTTCATATAATAATGCTAGGTAACACTACAAACTTCCGCTGTAAGAGAGCCTAAGCTCGTATTTCTTTTTATAATAAAGAAAGGAAGCTCATCATACTAAAGCTGTTATTTCCCATGACCATTAACATACATATTTTACCGCATACATGACTTCTCATTTTTGCTTTAAGCATCTTGATAAACAAACAGATTTCTTACGATTTTACCATATTTGATGTATTACCATTTTTCGTTCCTTTATTTCTAGGAGAAACATACGGATTCTGCAGCAAATCTTCACATTGGGTTCTTTGCTGTCATTTTTAGACGACTGTCCACAAGTGTTCATTTCCTCTTTACGTGACGTTCTCCAGGCCACCCTGAGACGGTCAACTCATTATTTCTTGTCAGTCTTGCGTAAATGGTATCAGTACACAGTCACCACAACCAGTGTCCAGTCCACCTCTATTTTATTCTGCACATTTGTTGAACAATAGTTTCATAGTTAGTCCGCCGTCAGAGTTCCTTGTTGCTTATCCCATCTAATCTTCAGTATCTAGCCAGCAAAGGTGACTGCTAGTGAAAGTCTACAGCTCGTTGGAAATGCTTTTAGTGAGGTTTCTATGGATATACAATCAACACTAAGTCGACTGTTATTCACTTTTCAAAACAAGCGTTCATTGAACTTCATCTGTCCATCATGTGTTTGTATGTGTGGTTGATTTAAATCTTGGATCATTTTTTTATGCCTTATATAAACCTATTGTTGGATTTTCGATTGTGGTATTTGATGAAGAAGTTACTCGAAGCAAACGTTATCATTGAAGTCGACTATATTATCAAAACAAATTAAATAACACTGTTTATAAGTACCTTAGCTTTTTTCCAGGAGATTAATACGTCTTTAACGCAATTCGTCATTTATCAATTACTAATGATTTATCGATCGGCTAACTTTTACATAAACATAATTGATTTGTAATACAACCATCTCAGACACAAAAGCACTTATCATAATGAGCCCGATGGAGAACAAAAAATAATCAAAGCCTTGAGACAAAGTTGCGATACATTTTTTGATGTAAGATTCGTGGTAAAATCGTGTTTAAAAAATAGCAGAGAATTTTTGACCTAAAAACGATATAAACGCGATTAGTTTATGCAGAGTATCTGCAGCTGTCAAATAATGATGAGTAACGTCTTTCTGCTGTATATTTATCTTAACCGACTACTGAGTTTCCCCATATTCACTAGGACTTTTCTTGATTCAGTAAACTTTGAACTGTACTGAAACAATTTCATATTTTCTAAAACACATCCAATATAGATTTACAAGCATAAGTTAACAAACTAACTCACGTTTATGTTCTAATATGAAGGTAGATGGATCACTTTGACATTTTCTCACCTGTTCTACAACACCTAGACTATAGTTATGATGCAAAACAACTTCAAAGTCTTTTGTTAAACTTGCATCACATTCAACCATTTTTACTCCAAGTTGTTCAGCACGTTGAAAGGCGCATATAGTATTTTCAGGCCATTGTTGACCTTTACCGTAATGTGCACGTTTGGCACCGGCACCAGCATGACCAACTATCATTGGTTGATGTATTGCATTTTGAGTAACTGATGGAAGATTTAAGGTGAGAGGCGCCCCACAATCCGAATCAGGCGGTGTATATCCATAAATAAAGAGATAATATACTGAAAATAAATGTAAGAAATATATTTTAGGAATAATACGCTAAAAAATAAGTTGACATTCTGTACTACAAAGGTAACCAGCAAATGGACGCGAATTACAACGAAGCATTTTTCCTAATGGTTGGATGTAATTCAGATACGACTACATTTATACTTCTTAAAAGACTTACAGTTCACTAATCACGATGTGCAAATTATGCCAGAAGTTTACAGCACGCACATACCAAATAATATAAGCGTTCAGCCATATCAGACAGGTAAGTTCGCACATTTTGTGAACTTCTGTTTCCTATTATGAATGTTATTATGCCCATATTGTATAAAGCGAAATCTATCAATAAGAACAGTATATATATATATATATATATATATATATATATATATATATATATATATATAGGCATGTATGTATGTGGAAATAATAAAGATAGGAACTATATAAATAAATTACACGAGTTGACAGAGTTAGAACTCAGGGGTCACTGAATTTTGGTCAGAGTGACTGAATGGTCAAGAAGCTCCGTCTCGTATCCTGAAAGTCCCGGGTTCGACTCTTTACGAGGTCGTGGTTGATCACTGATGAAGAGCCCCAAAGTAGGACAAGGCAGCCTTCCAGTGCTCCTTGGGTTTTAAAAATTCCTCTCACTGCTTGAATTATCAGGATTTATCCTTGTTTTAATCGTCTAGTTATATCAAATAACATTTACATGAATTTGGGCGCTGATTTAACTTGCTCCATAGCCAACGCTGTGTAATTCTTGAACGAAATGAAGACATGCGGCAAAGTTCAGCAAAAGCGTCCCAAGAGATGCGAACGCACAAGTGACCTTCAGCCAACCAATCATAAAAATAAGTGACTTTTGCACAAAAATGACGTATATATACAAGAAAATGCATGAAAACACCTTAAACAGGGTATTTTTCTCTGACGTGACTTAAAAATAAGTTCCAGTTATAATGAGGATTATCAGTTGTCAAGTTAGACTAGTTTCTGAACACGTATTTACCGAAATGGCTAAAGATAAGCTGTTTTTTGTGAATTGTTTATCTCTCTTATCCTGTTGTGCAGTCTTCCCCAAAAGCCTTAGGTTGAGTTACTATGGTTCCCAACGATCAACGACAACTTACGAGTAAAATGTGGATAAGAAAACAAATTAAAATAAATGACATCAACTCTAAATCTATCCCTAGTCGTAACCCTAACCCTAAACATAACACTAACCCCAATTACAACCCTTTTCCTAACCGTAAAACTAACCCTAATGGTAATTATGACCCTGATCCTAACCCAAATCCCAATACTTAACTTGACTTTAATCCTAAACCCAACGGGCTATTGCCACTTTGTCCAAACAGTACCTAAAGACGTTATCTGAGTATAATTTGCTACTTAATTGGTGAATAGCATTGATATTTCAGCTATGATAATGGCAGGTGCCGTCAGACAACGACTAGTCTGTATTCAAGATCATTGGAGCGTTCGCACTCCTGGGACGCTATTGTTGAACTTAGCCAAAATATTTTGTACCATTTATTCGTATATTGTCTCCAAAAAAGCTTTATTATTATTATTATTGTTCCCGTGACGAAAACCTAACAATTGGAATTAAATAATATACGTTGTATTCACCCCACGCCTTAATTTGAATTTCTACAACAAGAACATTTGTTCTAGCCAGAAACATTAAAATACTTGAAAGGTCATTGAGTATAGATTTCTACTCCAAAATTATTTCATTCCTTATGACACATTAAGTGGATAATGCCAATAACTTCAAAATGGTTGAAAGATGTCACAAAAATATATTGATTTCTGTTTTTTGTGAAGTTGGTCTTCAAACGCTGTTTGCTTTCAAAAAGTGAATTCGGATATGAAAAGCTGCCCAACTGCGTTTACCAAGCCAATATCGCACTAATTTACAAATGTCACTTTGCAAGTTAGGCCAATCTTTTTCCCTAACGTGTTTTTTTATTCCTTCACGTTCCCAGTGGAACATAGGGCTTCAAGATAGAGGCTTTAAGTTTCAGTAGCAGCGGTGTTTATTTTTACGAGATGGGGTTGCTAGCCCAACCTTCTCTCTTTACCAGTCGTATTACTAGCTTAGCGAGGTAAATGAGCGTGTCGACCGGGGATCGAACCACATGTGTGGTCGGCGAGCATTCTACCTTTGTGCCACCGACGCGTCGGTTTGCAGGGATTTAATTGATTTCAAGTTTGATCACGGCCTACTTAAATCTTAGGCTACCATAAATCTATCCATCATAATATTGCATCTAGTTTCTCGTGTTCAAGTTAGAAAGGGATATTTCTTTTTGGGAATTGTGGTGATGGCGTTGCAACTTTCATCAATTCTCAGTGGTGTACTTCAAATAATGTATGTTTTAAATTCTCTAGTGACAAAATTGACTACCTCACTGTTAAATGCCGACTGAAACACCGGTCCGAATATAACTACATATACATTTCAAACACTTATATTGCAGCTGGATGTAGTCTATCAGCACTATCTTCAAACGCTAATGAATTTACTTCCCTTGGAAAAACCTTGTCAACAGTTACTGGTGACTTCAGTTTTTGCAACTACAGTTTCTTTACATCAACTTCCTCAAACAACTATAAAATACCCTTGATCTAGTGTTTACATATGACTTCAGCACATTTGAATTTCGAAAAAGAGATCCACTACTTAATTCTGATCATTGTACCAGGCTTATATTGCCCAAAATATATGAAAAGCTGCATAAAAGGCTTTCTTGGGCCTTGGCAAGAAAACACAACATAGATGTAACTCCCATGACAATATTACAGAATCTAAGGAACATCTTAAATGACGCAAACTGGGACTTATTTACTGAACAACTTCTAGATGACACAATCACAAACGTAACATATTACCGCAAACTTTGTCTTGATGTTTATCATCCAAAAGAGACGCTCTTCTTAAGCTTTGACCCCTTCTCCTCTTCTCAGCTCAAATAGCTTCGACGAGAAAAAGAAAGGTTTTGCAAAGTGAAAGACAATCCAGCTACCTAAGAGACTGAATATTTTAATTAAATCAGAAATACCGAAATTAAATACGACCTATAACCTAAAGTTCTTATCATGCAAAACCTCATCAAATATGTGAAAGCTGTTAGGGTTAATCATCAGGGGTTGGGGGGTGGGGGCTGGGGTAAGCACATGAATTATGATCCTTCTTCAGTTGATGCTGGTACTTTTAATAAGTCTTTCATTTGTCATCCAGCTGGTATTATGATCTTAAATGCTACAAGTGCAAATAACGACTGCTTCATAACATAAACGATGTCGTCAAGTGTCTCAAATCCCTGAAAACATCCCAGTAGTCCCTAGATCCAGATGGCGTACCAGCTATTATCCTCAAAAAAATGTGATAACATTTTATGTTATCCTCTCACTAGTATTTTCAATAAATCGTTATAAACCTTAGTATACTTAGTTCTTTTTTTCATTTTACGTGAATTCATGATCAGTGTTGAATAACTATAGTGATTTTTATTTCTCGTAAATAAACAAAGCGTTTTAGGAAATCTACCTAAATACAAATTCATCTAGTGTAAATGTAATTTTTTTCAACTACAGCAGAATATCATAATCTTATAAGTGTAGTATGATAGTGATCGCTTTAATTATTTAACTCACAAATATGCTGTTAGGGACAAAGTTAAATACACTGGTTTGTGCTTTGAAATATTTATATTCAGATTCATACTAAATATCGTAATCGTCTAATCATTGTATTCATTCGACGTTATTGTTTCCCAATGAGTGAAAATCATACGTTTAAAAGTAGGACCAAATTGAAGGCATTTGAAAGTAGTAACAGTTCTTAAATAAACAATAATACAACACAACATTAAAATTGAATTTCGTGTATTAGATAAGGAAGTAAACAACACATGGGTGATGCAACACTTACTGCTGAGACAAACTTATACAGATACATTCAAGTGTTGGTTTGTATGGCTTTGATTGGTTACAGGATTTCATTATGAGCTGACATTAGTTAGAGAACCATTGGAAAACCTGGGAGTACTGGACAGCCGTTTCGTCCTAGTTTGGGGCTCTTCATCAGTACGCACCCACCGGGGTTCGTACTGAGGACCTTCTGGTTACAAGGCGAGCTGGCATACCATTAAGCCACTGGAACCCCATCCAATATATATATAGTGATAAGAGTAGTCTCAGGAGAATGGCATTCGTTTTATATTGATAGAAATTTAAGTAATCAGAATAAACTTTACTAATTGGTAGCCCAACGGATATAGTTAGTTTTCCTATCACCTTTTATATGAGATAACTGCGTACACTCACAGTATACGGTTGATGCAACAAACATAATGATTATCTTGAGATACAGTTTACCCATAGTTTATTACTTAACAGTCCATTTTTCTAACATATAAGAGCTTGCCAATTAATCTTTCTTAAAATCTACTATCAAACTACAGCACAACATAATAGACAGCAATTAACTTAATGCCAATATCCTTTATTTACATGATTGATAGGTTTTAGAGCACTTAGCACTAAATAGCTACAACTGTTATCAATAAGTGACAAATTTGCATAAATCATGATAAGTTCCATCCTAATATCAACAATTTTAGAATATCCGATTTAGTGTGAAGATTCTAAAATCTAGGACTAAAAACGTTAAGGAAAGTAATGATACAAGGTAGTATCGTTCTATATGATACAATACTATGCATGTTGTGAACCAATCAAACTTTCATACACTTCACTGAAACAAAATAGACTAGGTAATTCCTTTTTCAATATAAAGAATATCCGACAAAAGCATTTCATCAGCAAACATTAATTTAGATAACTTCAATCTAGAATTTTTATGCCCATCGGAAACAGTTAGCATATTTAGAGATTATAGCTAGACATTGAAGCATCTATCAGTAAAATCTCTCAGCTTACAGAACAGCTTCACTCGAACAGAAAGCTAATATGGAGTCAAATAATTAAGATTGGACACACTAGAGGTTGTTAGTCATTTCTGACAAATTTTAAAAATAAATTACACTTTAAAAATATTTTTTGATTGCTTACAGTAAATTTCATCTAAAGTACCGTTAACTGAAGACACTGGAAGACACAGCAATCCTTGATCTTCCTGATAATCAGGTTGCAAAGTAAAGGAAATATTCGACTTTTCCGAACCACAATCATCCTCCAACTCTAAATCAACAGACTATAATACTAATTACCGTAATCAAGTAAACTTACCCAAGTGCAATTCAATGGTGAGTCATATTCAGAGATAAGAAAGCCGCTAGCAGCTTGTGGAGTTACAGGAATCCATTTGTTTTTGCTAAGAGAACCTTTGGCAGACCATGACAATGACGGGTCTATATGACATGACTGAAAATAGAATAAATTATACACAGAAAGTTGTAACAAAAAGTTATGGTTGCAGGAGACCACAATTGTCTTGACTTGGTTACAAAGAAAGCAACACTAAAATGAAGGGTTATTTGCGTGCGATCATTATGTTTGGCTTCCATTGGCTACACAATTAGTTACCTTCCTCAACAATGATCATCTGAGAACGAAGACTTGTGAAATAAGAGAATGGTTAAGCCCACTGAAGTTAGTAGCAAATTTATCCGTCTAAAATTATTTAATTTAAGCTCACGATAAACAGCAATTGTTTCAGCTCCTTTCCTCAACCCATTATTGTGTATGGACGACTAGGTGAAACTAGCGTTCAGAATATTCTGCTGCATTAGCCATTGAACACAAAGCAAAGTTATTTTGTATTTGAACTTCAAAGTTATGATAATCTAAGAGTTACATCAATCCTAGCTGGTCCCTTGGAGTAAAATAGTGACCTCTACTTTAGTCCTCAGAGATTTAGGTAGATACTTGGTTGACAAAAATATAAGTCGAAACTAGACTGTTTTCATTTCAAACAATCTTCAAAATCATTTCGGGGACTTGAAAAAAGTCAAGTTGACGCTATCTGGTATCTCCCAAAAGCAGAACCTCTTTTTATACTCAAAATAGAACTAATTTAGGGTAAAATAATAAAGACAAAACTAGGTAAAGTAGACCTTTTAAATAGTACTAATTTCAGACATATCGTTATTCCAGGGGAGATTCATCAAGAGACAACCACTATACACCTGTACGCGTTTATCTAGGCCTTTAAAGACACAACAGCACAAAAAGGAAACCTTTAATATCACTTCTATAATGAAAATACTAAGTGCGTGTAAAAACGAATTCTTCAGACAGCTTGCAAGACACAAGAATGTTACTGTTTGACACTATTACTAAAGTTAGACACTTTTTGATACTCAGAAACATACTTAGAAGGAGTGACAGATATTAGCAGCTTCTTTCAGAATTAACAGGTGTAGGCAAAAGACATTCACTCAAGCTTTGTTGACAATAAGGTGCAGAGGCAATCTATACTTAAAGCAACAATGAATCTACACACTGATTGTAAGTAGTCATGAATATCAGAAGCTAGAGAGATAGAGAAGGATGTAAGGATTCGCAAGTTTATTCCGAATTACTTAAGTAGATAGTTTTGGGAAACTAAAGATTGGTACGACTAACTTAGAAGAAAGGGGCCATACTTTACTCACCAAAAAGTTTACTAGATAAACGAACCGAGCCTTGTGAAGTAAAATGCCTTCCAACCAATTTTGAGAGCGATATGTCATTGTCCATTAAGGGTATACTAAGAATTATTGAGCTACGTTTTGTTGTGTGGTCACGATACATGGCTATCACTGTCCATCTTTGGTGCAACCGCTGCGCCAGTAATGTAGAAGTTATAAAAATTAAGCAAATTTCTACCACCCAGGATAGTGGGGAGAAGTATTATACATAGCCTCTCACTATCTACCTTGATGGTCTGTGTTAGCGAGACAACAACCACGTTAGAAGAAAGCTACGGGCTGCTACACCTGAACACAGAACTACGCCAAGAAGTCACTGAACAGTAATTCAGACCGTGCGATGAAGCGTAATTAGCCTGGGTTAAGTTTACATGACCACAATAACTTAGAGCTGGTGTTACTAAACTTTCCTTCACAATGAGAAAATTACTTCCTGACTCTGTTCTTTCCTACAACCATGAGGGACTCAACTTTAGAAGTATGTTAATTTCGTTACATGAATGCTGGTGCGTTAAAACTGACTACGAACAACTCGCTTAAAATAAATAAAACTTAGTGCCTTACATTGAATAACAGTGAAATAGGCAACAATCTAAGAACGTGGAGTTTTGTGATAATATGTAGATGTCTAAGTTATTCAAAAATAAAGTGTTCGAATCACTGATCCACATTTTCAAAATCAATTGTCTTTAATACACCACAGCTTCATACAAAAAGTGTAGAATAAAAGAGTTTTTAATAAACCAGACTTCTAGTCACAAAGTTTTAAAATTTTAGTGATCAATAAGAAAACAGCTTACAAATGACATCAGTTTGTCCAAATTATCGACTATGTGTGAACCAAAACGCAAAGAACTAACTCGCATTTTCTTAAAAATAGAATTCTTTGACTTAATTGAATAAATCACCATAGCCATACGAGAGTTCATAGTTAGTCGTCAGTTATTATGTAGCACAAATTCAGTGGTTATTGTGAATGGTGTCGCTACCTTAAGAGAAGCAGGAGGTAGAAAACACGCATTCTTTACATCAAACAATATCGTAAAAGTACAAGACAGAGAAAATAAACTAACTTTTATTATGTTAAACAATATCAAATCCAATTCTTCAAATTATGCCCAAGAAATGTTGCTCCGTTGCATCTAATATACATGAGCCGGGTGTTTGTTGACCAAGGAAATTCTAAATCCCGAAAGTTTTTTAGTCAGACAGTGGATGACTTAACCTGCAGCTTTATCTGAACACTTTTCAGAACACACAACACTGATTACTAAATTTTACAGATATTTTGTCAGGAAATCAGAATTTTTCAGACATTTGATTGAATCACAGCAGTTATGCAGGCTGAAGGTAGGTTTGAAGTTGTGTTCATAATTTAAAATCTAAGTCTAAAACCGAATTATATCCAGAGTGCAGTTTCTGTCCCAAAGACAAACCGTCAATATTAATAGTACTGGAGATTCATAACTCAGACATGGCTAGACAAGAACTTTAAGGACAAAATGTGATACTTGTACACATACATTTTAATTTTGGTGATTTCCCTGAAAAATTTAGGAACAGTTTGTTGAAAGAGACGTTAAAATAACTTATTTCAGTCTCGCTGGGATTTATATTAATACAGTTGTTACATGTCTCCTTTCCTGTCGGTGTCAAATGTTTCTGTAACTACACGGTCGTCACAATGAAACTTCGTAAAAATATAATAGTAAGCAATTCAAACAAACATTTCGGATGTGAACAGTGGCAGTTTATAAAAATTCACCTTTCCAAATGTAAATGTAGAATATATTTTGAGTTTATGACTTCTCCAATTAATTTCGACGTTTCCTGTTTTGCAGGATGCTTCTTATATAATAGAATTACTGATTCTCTATTAATCTATTGGATATAGCATTCAGTGAATCAGAATTATTTACTCGATGACGTTTTGGACACAATTTAATGTTCATAACCGTATCACGACTTAGCTAGTAAGCCCTGAGCCAATAAGTGAAGTACGGAAAAATGGTTAAGAGAATGCCAGTAGGCTTCCAACTAGTGTTGGCTATGTGGAAGATCGTGTCGATTCAGCCTTTATTCACCACAGGAAAAAGCGTTAGGTAAGAATTTACTGGCATATTGGTAAGCTTTGGATTTCAAGAAGCCTAATATAAAATATTTGGAGAATCCAAAATCTTTTCGACGGGCCTGTATAAACCTTATGATTACATGACGCTTCCTTCATGTCGTTTCGAAACGGTTCTAAATATTCAACGGATTCTAGCACAACGTGCACTTTCTATTGCTGCTGAATACAGTAAGTGTGGTTACATCAACTTATTTTGGAGGAAATGTATAGTTAGTGCCTAGGCAGTGACATTTCTGGGACTAGCGAATTTCGATTTTTCGGGCAATCCTCCAGTTAGCTCGACAGACGATTGAGGGAGCGATAGCAGGCTCATTGAGAGGATGTGTAGAGTAAGTCCACCATGAATGAAAGACGCAGCAGGAGAATTGAATATGATACAAGATATTGGGAGTGAAATCACACAAAAATGAAAGAAAAGGAAACAACCATAAAGAATAGATACTGCAGTCAAATTACCTACAGACGATTACTCAAATCCTTAATCCTTCACATATGATGGACTGGGGCATCCTTTTGCTGCGAAAATTGTTTTCCGACAGAATAAACTAGTTTCTAAACATAAATTGATTTCCGAAGACTAACAAGTGGTAGTTGCCATTGCAACCGGAGTGTAGCAACCACTCTTTATAGTTGCTGAAGAGGGTTATAACGTGACAAGTATGAAAAGTAATAATTATGAACTCTATTCTTATTGATTTATAATTTTCATCAATTAAGACTATAATTATCATCTTCATTATTGATAAAATGGAAAGACATTGGAAAGAATTGTTTAGTGGGATAAAACAATGGATCTTAGTTTTTCGTTATTTTAGACTCGCTGTACCACTTTCTGTCCGACTGACTATTACATCAAAACATATGCTTTGAAGATTTTGTACTATGTATATATATTTCTTTTCATGAATGAAGAGACCAAGTAAGCTTACAACCTACCCGATTCAATGCACATCCCCGGACGACTGAATATATAAAGCAGTAACATGTAACAGCTATATCTCCTTTCTAGCTCAACCTTGAGAATGACCTTCAAAATCCAATATCGTTCTCACGAGCTAGTATAAACCAATTTGATTTCTTTGTGCTCGCCTCTTGATTGTGAGGTATAGGTTCCTCATCTTCGGTAAGCTTCTGCGTAGCTCATCCCGCCACTCGACTGTCCTTGCTTTGGTTGACCCCAAAAGCAGTAGTGCTGGGATTAATTATTTGTGGTTTGTAGTATGAGGTGTGTTAAGACGGTTGCTAGTGTGAATGGAGTTTATCCTTTCACCATTTAGTCCTCCAATATCGTCGTCAAAAGGAAAGAGATAATAATAGGTATAATTAGTGAAGTTATTGAGACTAACTTACAGAAAAAGAAATAAGAAAAAGTAACACCAGTCAGTTGATCAAATTTGAAGAATAATATGAATAATATATATATGTATATCGGTAACAATGATACTAATAATAATAGATGCAGTTAAAGTTGTCAGAAGGTTAAGACGGGAGAGAATGTAAAGAAGTAAACAGACGAGTTGTCTACCCCCGAATGGTGTATGGGATTTTAAGGGGATAGGCCAATTGGAAGCAGTCATTGTGTCACTGCGTGATTGTCCAGCCTTCACTTAAAGGCGTCCACAGATGGTGCCATGGCTACAGCTGCCGATAAGGAATTCCAGGGGCGGCAAATCCTCAGTGAAAAGAAGTGGGAGCTCACCCGGGACCTTGCCCACTGGTGAGCTATCCTTCTGGAATTTCCACGAGGAAGCCCATATCTACTCAATGGCAGAACACCTTTGTTTGGGTGATTCTTATCGTTTGTTATCTTGTAGGCAGTAATCAGAACCCAACTAAACCAATGTTAGCTAAATGTGTATAGCCTTTCATCATATGATTCATTTCGGAGCCCAACCACTCCTTTTGTCGCCCGTCGTTGGACTCTTTCCAAGAGGTTGGCAGTGGGGGCGCAATAATATCATGCACTTCAAAGTATGGCCTGACGTATGTTTTGTACAACATTAAGAAGAGCTCAGGAGTGAGTGCACCTAGCTGTCTATGTGTAAGGCGTATGACCGCATATACCCCCACCACATCCCCGAGTAATTTACGCGACAACAACCAATCACAATAAAAGTTTAAACTCAGAAATTCCTCATATTGTATTTTAGAATATTTCACTACGCAATCTATACAGGATAGCCACGCCTTGTGCTTTCTGGGAAAACATGTCAGTTTTTTTCAATTATATTCTTAGGAAAAGAAAAAATGAACCACATAACACGTATTCATTCCAATTGCAACGCACAGTTTCAAATAGCAAACATTGCTTTTATGAGCTAGTGTAAACCAATTTCATTTCTCTGTGCTCACTTCTTGATTATGAAGTAAAGATTCCTGGTCCTGGGCAAACTTCTGCGTAGTTTGTCACGTCACTCAACTATCATAGCTGGCGCTGGAATTAATTATATGTAGTTTGAGGTATATGATATGTTGAGACAGTGTTGATGATGTCGACCTTACTGGTCCTTATAACCGTTATTTGCCCAATGTTGTTGAGAGGAGCGATGACAATAATAGCAGATATAATTAGTGTAGGTTATGCAGACTTATAAAGAAAGAAAACGTAAAAGGAGACAGCCAATGCATTTCCAAATTTAACTATACAGAAATACAGTACATGTATACACTTACATATATACACACATCAGTAATAATAATAGTCTAAGGGACGCAATAGTTGGAATAGTCAGTAGCGTGAGACAGGAGAGAATGTGAACAAGTGATAGGATGATTTCAGTTGTGTGTGAGATTCTAAGGGTGTAGACAGTTCGGAAGCAGTCCTTGTATTGCTGCAAGATTTTCCAGACATTGGTCAGAGCTGTTCAAGGAACATGCAGTAGCCACATATGTAGAAATTTCTAGCGACAGCAAATTCGAAGTGGAAAGAAATGGGAGAGTACGTGAGTCTTTCCAGACTGGTGGGCGATCCATCGAGGATTCCCACAAGCTCATGCGGACGAAATGGCAGAATACCTAGGTCTGGGTGATACTGGTCATTCGTAATCCGATATGCAGAAATTAAGCTCTCCTAAGCCGATGGCATTTAGGAGTGAAAATACCCAATTTCTTCAGCCATCAATCATATGGTTTGTTTAGGTGACCCATCACCCTTTGGACGCTCGTCTTTGTATTCTCTTCTGAGGAGCCGTGTGAGTCATGATTTTGAGCACTTCAAGGTGTGTATGTTTTGTACGACCTCAGAAAGAGCTCAGAAGTGAGTGTCCACATTTTCCAAGTCACGCTCCGAAGTTTCTCAGGGTAAGTTTTGATTGTACAGAGTGTAACTTACATTCTACAGTCTACGGGTGCGGAGTTGCACTACTCTGCACTCTTTCAGATTGAAAGTCATACCACTCACCATCGCCCGGTCTTCCAGAAGATTCGGGTCCACCTGAGGCCTGCCTGAGTCTTTCGAACACTTTAATTGCTCTCCAAATCGTTACGATGTCAGTGTGAAGAAGAGCCAGTTTGCTTGGATAAAATAATATCAACAGCTCTAGTATAGAATCCCGCGATGCTTCTGGTGACGAACTGTGCCCCGATGATCGGACACGATTGACCTTAGTTTAGAATTTCCCCTCATCTAGGTAGTTCTCCAACCACGACGGAAGCAGCCTACATATTCCCTCCTGATTTATTTCGTGCGGTAGAAGGTCAAAGTGAAGTGTGTCAAATAATAATAATAATAATGTATATTCTCATACAAACATATAAATTTACATGAAAATGCATGCCATTTTTACAGGCACGATCAAG